ACAACGGCCGACGAGGCGGGAACGACGGGAAGCGCGAGCGGCGCCATCTTATGTATGTGTGGCTGCGCTGGGAAGCCAAAAATGGATGCCAGGTAGAGCGGTTTCCCGGATTCCGGGAACGACTTCTTATTTTCGAAACCAACTGTTCAGGACTAGGATGCTTATTGGAAGATGGTGTAGGTGGGGTTGTGGGTTCTGCAGCCTGAATTGATTGGAGGGAGGCAGCTGTGGTAAGGTATCAAGTACCTGGCTGTGACCAAGCGCCCCGCACTGTCGAGACACCCGAAAATGGCGGCCCTGCCCTGCCAAATTCGGCGGCTAGAACAGCAAGTTCTGTACTTAATTTGTAAGGATAACTAAGGGTAATCTTGTCAATATCCGTTGGTTGTTGTTGTGGCCTATGGCCCTATGACAGGCACGCCTGCGTTTGCCGCCCACCGCCTAGCACACTGCCTAGCACACCGTCTACCTAAATTAGCCACCCAGACTCCTCTTGCTCAACACATCTTGTTGGTTTATAATTGTAAACTAGTATGAATACATGTACAGGGCTAGGCCTCATCACTGATTAACTCTACAATTGAACCATCCTAATGACCTAATCTCCTACATTCTCTCTCGATTTATATATATCATCGCTTAATGAAGATGGTGTCTCTTGAGCAAATGCGGGCATCCAATGTCCGGATCAAGACGGCCCTGCCGGCCGAGCTGGTCGCCGTCTTCGCGGGCGCCACCAGCGGCATCGGCGAGTCGTCGCTCAGGCAGTTTGTGAAGCACACGGTTAGGCCGCGCGTCTACTTCCTGGGGCGGTCAAAGGAGTCGGGGGTCCACATCAGCACCGAGCTGCAGAAGCTGAATCCAGAAGGGGAGTACCACTACATCAGCGTCGACGTCAGCAGCATCAAGGCCGTGGACAAGGTCTCGCAAGATATTAAGGACAAGGAACAGGTCATCAATCTCCTGTTTCTCTCTACCGGGACTATGGTTAGTGGTAAAGGTGCGTTGCTGACTCGAGGAAATGAGGGTAGAATGGCTTAGGAGTTTGGACTGGGCCGGATGACTGATATTGACATATGGATAAATGCTGCTGCAGACACCGAAGAAGGCCTGCACTACCCCATGGCCGTGACATACTACGCCCGCATCCGCCTCGCACTCAACCTCCTGCCACTGCTGCGGCGGGCGACGGGGCTGCGCCGCGTCGTAAGCGTCTTCACGGCCACCAAGGAAGGGCGCATCGACACGACGGATTTCCAGGCCCGCCACGTTCCCGTGCTCTCGCAGCGGGGACACACGAGCTCCATCATGACCCTTGGTCTGGAATTCGTCGCCAAGGATGCCCCTGAGGTTAGCATCCAAACTACCCTTACTACTTGTATCTCTCAGGGCTTTAACATTGATCATGTGTGTGGGCTGGCAAAAACAACACAGGTCTCCTTCATCCACGACTTCCCCGGCGCCGTCCAAACAAACCTGGGCAAGGACGTCAAGAACCTGCAGATGACGGTCATGACGGCCGTGTTCAGGGTGATTGGGCCCTTTGTGACCATCCCGTTTGACGAGGCCGGCGAGCGCCAGCTCTTCTTCGCGACGAGCGCGCGGTTTCCGCCGCGTACGGCGGCGGAGGGAGCGGCGGCGGGAGTGCCCCTGGCGCCGGGCGTCGGGGTCGCCCGCGGCACCGACGGCAAGCCCGGCAGCGGAGTGTACTCGATCAGCATTGAGGGCGAAAGCGCAAAACCCAAAGTCGAGCAGCTGCTCGCTGAGTACCGTGAGAATGGCACGCGCCAGAAGGTGTGGGAGGACACTGAGCGCGAGCTTGTGCGTGTTACCGGAACAGCGTCTGCCTGACGGGATGCCCCCTGACTCCTGAGGGCGAGGTGCAGCTCAAATACAGTATCTGTATCTATGGATACATTCGCTAACACTACACCACTCAACCCCTTATTTTAAAAAAAATAAATACAAACCTATCCGTTGTCTGGTATCTCTAGCATCTCTAGATCCGCCCTAAAATGTGAAGTCTGCTGAAGTAGAGGACTAATATCAACTCTGTCCTATTCAACTCCAAATTAGGTCTGAGAATGATTCTACTAATCTCATGATCGGTATTACCTGTCGTCCTAGTAATGAATGCTGCTACTAGTAATGATGCCCCATGATACATCCCCTAACCACCTCATGCAATGCCCCGTCGCAATGCTCAGGAGGAGAACCCAAAGCCCTCACGCAACCCCCAAGGCCCTTGCTTCGTCTGCCCATTCTCCCCAAGCACGACAACCCTCTCGACCACGACATCAGTGTCAAACCCAAACGTACCCGCCGCCTCAAACGCCTTACCATCCCATGCAAAGCTGATCACCGACTGACGGCCCGTCACATCCAAGCTCTCGCCGTCATCAAGGTACAGCTCACCCTTAGCAGTCCCATCGCTTCCCGGCGCAACCAGGATCTCAAAGTTCTGCCTCCGCAGCTCGGCCGTGTTATTCGCAGACCGAACGCGCAGCGGCACGATCGATCCGCCACGGATGTGCACGGGGATATCTGTCCATCCCAACCCGTCCACCGTCCTCGTCTCGCCGTTGCCATCAACCCTCTCCCCAGTCCAAAAGTCATAAAACACATCCCGCGGCAGGTACATGGACACACTCTGCGCCTCGTCCTCAACAACGGGGGAGATGAGCAGCGCCTGGCCCAAAAACCACTGCGTCTGCAGGCCAAACGTGTTCGCATCCCCCCGGTACCAGAACCACAGTGGACTGGCCACGGGCGACCCGTCCTCGCTGGCGCGCCACATGGCCGTGTACATGTAGTCCAGCAGACGGTAGCGGACGTCGATGGCCTTTTTGGCGGCCTCGGTGACAAGCGGCCAGCGGTAAAACTCCTGATCCGGGGCTGAAATATCCGCATGGTTGCGATAAAACGGCTGGAAAGCCCCCAGCAATGCCCAGCGCGCGCACATGTGTTCCTGCGCGACCTGGTTGAAGCCGCAGACGTCGGAGCCGACCATGGGCATGGCGTGCAGGGCTGCAAAGGCGAGCAGCTGCCGGATGGCGGTGCGGTAGTGCTCCCAGGTCGAGGCGTTGTCGCCGAACCAGTGGGCCGCTTTCGCGCCGGACCCGGCGAATGTCGACCGGGTCAGCACAAAGGGACGCTTCCCGGGGTTGCGGGAGAGCAGGGCGTTGCGTGTCGTCGTCGCCATCATGGTCCCGTACAGGTTGTGTGTGTCGTACTGCGCCGTGCCGTCGGCGTTGGTCACGTTGGTCCAGAGGGTAAAGCCCGAGAGGGCGCCGCGGTGGTTGGCGATGGGGTATGCGGGCTGGAACAGGTCGCGCCCGGGGAGGCCCTTCTTGTCGGCGGATCCCTCGGCTTGACGCTGGACGAAGAGACTTCTCCGGGTATTTGGAATTGACCGGCTGCTGATGGCTTCAGTTTGGGTCTGACGACGAGCTGGGGGCTTGCGAGGTTGCCACTCGGCCGGGTTGATGGCTACGCTGAGGCAGGTCGTGTCGCCGCACATGTTAGATGCTTCGTTCATGTCTACCCACAGGCCATCGACATCAATACCGGTCGTCGGGTCGTAGAAGGACCGGATCTCGTTGGTCCACCAGTCCTGCGTGCCCGGGGCGAACCAGTCAGGCCACACCACTTCCCCGGGCCACTGCAGGCCGCGATACCAAGAACCATCGGGGTTGCGGAGAAACGCGGCGCTCTCTATGCCACGCGAGTAGGTGCCGTAGTTGGCCATGTTGCTGATACCAGGGTCAAGGATTTGAATGTAGTGCTGGTTGTTGGCATGAAGGGAGTCGACCAATGCGCGCATCCTAGCCATTGGGAAACGGCTGGGGTCGGTGGTAAAGTCTCGCCTGCCCTCCATGTAGTCGATGTCTCCCCAGACCGTCTCGAGTGGAATGCCCGCGGCTGAGTAGTTGGCAATGACTTGCTCCACGTGGTCAACGTTTGGCCAGCCATACTTGCACTGGTGAAAGCCCAAAGTCCAGTACGGCATCATGGCGGGCAGGCCCACTACTTCAGCATACTGCTTGCTGACGTCGGCGGGCTGCGGGCCGGCAAGGAAATAGAAGTCGAGAACGCCGCCAATGGTGTAGTAGTCGAGATATTGGCTCCCCGTGTCGGTTCGGCCAATGTTGATGTCCATGCCATTGGCGTTCAGGAGGAAGACAGCGTGCGTACCGGAATCCCCACGATGATCAAAGTAGATCGGGTGACTCCCGTACAGATTGTTACGATTTGGAATGAAGGGTGACTCAGCGTTCCACAAGGTGCGAGTGTAAGCATCGGTGGGAAGGCGGAAATCATCCGTGTGTTCTCCCAGGCCATAGAGGTTGGGGTTTTGCGGGAGACTTGTGCGAAGCCAAACGAATTGAGATTCGAATACCAGGGGCGTGTCGGACGTGTCAAACAAGACCTCGCCCGTGGATGCCCTCGTCACGTTGAACGTGAAGGGGTCCTCAGTGAAGCCGAATCTCAGCGCGGAGCGCTCAGACGACGCATTTGCGCTGCGTGGTCGAGGCAGCACTTGCTCTTGCACCTGATAGACCTGGTGCTCGGCATCTTCTATTAGAACATGCAGACGCGTGTCTATGACGATGGACAATAGTATACTCGGTGATCAGCCGCTCTCATTCTGTTCTCATCCTGTGATGGATTCCATTGAACCTACCGGTTTGATATTCAACAACCAACCTCAGGTTTGCCAGGTCCGGGCTATAAGCGCTGCAGTTGGCGATGAGATTAAGATCTGCAATCAAGTAGGAATCTCCCCGCAAGACATTACTCGCTCGGTAGCCACGACACTTTGATGCAAAATCCGGAAGCTGAGCTAGGGCCGCAGGCGCAAGCAGCCCAAGCAGAAGCCAGGTAGGCGCCATGATCATCATGATGTTGATGGGTCGCTTTGTTCCCAGGTCTGGTGTCCAGTGTCCACCGTCGACTGGAGGTGGTCGCCGTGTAAGTCACAGTGAATTATGAATAAGTGGCACGCAACCTCGGAATTGGCCTCATTTATGAATTAATCAGGGAACAGAAGGAAGGACATAGCGGGCTCCCAAGGGGCCCAAGACAAAACTTGTTCATGCAGCCGAGGAACGACCGCTCCTTCTGATTTTGTCCCAGGTCTCCCAACATGGCAGGAATTAAGGAAATGAGGTGGACACTGCGGAACGCTTCAAGTCCTTCACCACGGCATGCTTTGTTGACCAGACCTTGGCGCACGAGCAAAAAGTGGTCACTCGGGCAGCCGTTGTGTTCCGCTCGGCACAACAGTGTCGATCATTTGATCACAGCGTGTTAGTGGCCGGGAGCACGCGCTGTCCTTACGTTCGTGTGGGGAACCTTGGGGAACGATGCAGGAACTTCGCAATTGAGTAGCCGGCATCAGAATTATTCAGGATTATGAGGGCACCAATAGAATGTCAAAGGGTCGTTCCTTGTACTAGATTCGACACGTGAGGAGCCGCAGAAGCGGTGACGGTAATCGTCACTTAGATGACAGGATCGCCGTCTCTCCCCGGATTTTCCCTGTTCTCACTGCTACCCATCCTATATCACCTGAACTACTACTATACTACTGCTGCTACTACTACTACTACGTAGGATGGAGAACTCGACCTTTGCTTATGTGTAACCTTCCTATACTGGCAGCAGCTCCAAAGCCTCCACCCGAACAGGCGGCTCGTGACGCGCATGTTGGCTCAAAGGTGCATACCGACTTCAATGCCGTGCTTTATGGTTGTATGTTGGCTTTCTATGCAGTGTAGTGTCTGTCCTCTGTCGTTGCAATACAACAAGAGGAATGCCTTGCCTGCAGACTCCAGAAACCCCTTATATATCTCCACTATTGGCGTTTGATCTCACTGCAGAGACTGCACCCGGTCCGAGCTGAACCGTGTTTGTATCACCCGAGTTCGCCGGGTCTTAACAATGGCCAATGAGCTTGACGACCTGGGTCTTCGGTTACCAGGGCTAGCTGGTTTATTCCCAGGGCATGGACCGACAGATGAAGCTCGTTGGATCTGTGACTGTTCAAACCCACGGCTACAGTAACCACGTGCACCGAGCAAAGTCCTCAAGCAACACAAGAATAACAGACATGCAAACCCACAAACCATTCATTATCAACAAATAGTCTTATAAACCCTTTTCCATCTCGGCCATGCCTGCCTCTCCTCCTCCTCCTGCGCCATGATGATGCCCAACCTCCCAAAATCCCTCCTCCCCGTATCTATATCCATGTCCTCCACCCGTACGTAACTCGTCCCGAACCACAGCTTATGCCCCAGCCAAAACACCACCACCACCGGCAGCGCCAGGCACTGCACAAAGAAATTATATGCCCGATCCCTCGCCGTGAGCGGCAGCGGGTGGTCCCGCGTGCCCTCAATAGGCGAAACCGCGACCCACACCTGCACCACAAGGATAAACACATTGCACACGAACCCCACCCAGCTGCCCACCACGCCGGCCTGCGCGCGGAAGGCCATGTCGGCCGGGGAGCGGTGGTGATGGCGCCAGGCCTGGCGCAGACGGATATGGGCCAGACACGTACTGGCCCACGTAAAGATGGTGCTCAGGCCACTGATGGCGAGCAGCCAGTCAAAGACGCCGTGGTAGGCGGGCACGTCGGCGAGGTAGGCCAGGAGGCCGACGGTAGCGGTAGCGAGGACGGCGACGAGGGGCCTGCCGCGGCGGTCGACGTAGGCGAACAACGCGGGCGCCTGCCCCTGTTCGGCCAGCGCGGCCAGCGTGCGCGACGAGCCGAACACGGCCGAGTTGCCCACGCTGATGACCGACACCAGGATCACGCCGTTCATGATGCTGGGGAGCACCGTCGCGCCGGCCGACTCGATGGCGATGACGAAGGGGCTTGCTGACGCGTCGGCTATGTTGCTGGCTCCGAGTAGCCGCGGCTCGGTGTAGGGGACTAGCAGGCCCACGAGTGTAAGGGAGACGATGTAGAAGAGCGTGATTCGCCAAAAGACTTGCTTGATGGCGGTCGGGAGGGACTTGCGCGGGTTGGCGGTTTCGGCGGCGGCGAGCCCGACGAGCTCGGTGCCTGCGAAGGCGAAGGTGGCCGTGACGAAGACGACGCAGAGCCCTTTGAAGCCGTTGTTGAAGGCCCCTGGATCGTGCCAATACTTGCCACCAATGTAGCCGCTTGTCGGCGTTCCTCCAATGTTGATGACAATGCCAAGCAGGCTTCAGGGGTCATCTTAGCATAAGAATAAATGTTTAGGCGGGCCAGGGCAGTCTGTGGCTTACATGAACCCTACCACGACGGTGACCTTGATGATGGCAAACACAAACTCGGCCTCGCCGTAGCCCTTAATCCCGAAAAGGTTGATGCCCACGATGACGAGGAGAAACACTGTGACGAAGACCGGCTTGGGCAAGTGTGGGTTCCAATATCCAATTGTCAGAGAGCCGGCGATGATCTCGAGGGGAAGCACCACTATCCATTGCAGAGCATAACTTGGGGCGCAGTGTTAGTGAAGGGTGGCAGACCTGCGCGTCCAGGAGGTGATAAAGAGTGAGGCTTACTTCCAGCCCATGGCAAACCCCCACGAAGGGTCCAAGAAGCGTGTTGAGAAGGCCGAGAAAGATCCAGCGACGGGAAACACCACCGCCAGTTCCCCGAGCGCCTGGACGGTGCAATACAGCATGATGCCAACGAAAACGTAAGCAAGCAGCACAGAACCTGGCCCTCCCTGGCTTAGAGCCTTGCCCGATGCCACAAACAGCCCTGTGCCGATAGAGCCGCTAATGGCGATCATCTGCAGGTGGCGACCCTTCAGCTCGCGGGCCAGCAGCGTGCTCGCCGTCTTGGAGTTGGCCGAGCGCAGGTCATAGTAGCGTCCGCCCCCGTGCTCGCGGACGACCGAGGCGCCCGACGCATTGCCAAACGCGTCCGCCACGGGTTCGCCATCTGCGTCTGTGACAGTCAAGGCAAAACTGTTGCCGTCCCTTGGTTCTTCGCGGCGGAAGGAGTCGATGAAGCGGTTGACCCAGGACTTCATGCTGCTACTGCTGCGGGCGTAGGATGAGCCGGCATCGGATACGGAGCTCCGGCCGGGGCCGCGCACTGTGATGCTGCCGCCGTCGGCCGGGCTTAGGGTACGGCCCAGCTGATTCAGCTCAATGGTTCGGTCGGCAGTCATTGCGTTTGTGTCATTGGACTGCGCGGGCGTACGTCCTAGAGACGCCGGTGTGGTGAGCGTCAATCGCTCCAAATTGTCAGGATCGTCAAGTGGCGGATCCGGAGTGGATCCGGCGACTTCCGAGACGCCCGAGACCAAGGGAGCTGTAACGGGTGTGAAGCCAGGAACGCGTCCAAAACCGAAGAGAACTACATCCGGCAGCGAATCGAGAAACGGGACGAGGTGGGTAGTGCTCTCATATCCGTAGCGCTGCAGAGTTTCCGAAGTCAAGATGTGATCTCGGATAGGTAGGTATCCTTCTGACGATGGCAAATTCCTCGAGTTCCTGTGTGTTTCAACTTTCAGAGTCAAAATACATTGGAAGAGTGCAACGGATGGGCTGCATTTCTGTCGATGAGAGGAGTTCTGAGTCCTGTAGTGTTGTTTTAGTTGAGAGAGTGCCGTGAAAGTTCAAGACGAAGATTTGTCTGGAGATTATGTTCCGCTACTGCCAAGGGTGATGGGATGAGGGAATTTTACCTGAGGTACAGTACATACGTTAGCTGCCGCTGCGCATTAGGTGCGAACACCAGGACTGGTGGGTACTGTATCTGTACAGTACCTTCCTGAAGTAGGGCACCGCAGCGGTGAACCCGAATTACCCGATCACCAAAGGGCCCACTCAGCAGGCCAGGGCCCAGCAGTTCGACCGCTCCAACAGCCTAACGTGTTTTATCAAGGTCATGTCCTGGTGTTTGCAATCCACTGCAAAATGGCCTCTGCTCTGTGAGGAGCTCCACTCAATTCTGCCACCATATTGAACTGCCAACATTGATGATTGCAGGCTGCAACAGCCGTGTCTCACGGCGCACCAACACGTCACTGAAGCTTCCGGGGCGCCCTACTAGACAGTCGCTCTCCTGCATAGGCCGCCATGCACCGCCCTCATGTCGACTGTCGAGGTCTTGGCTCTCGAGAAGAGCTTCGTCGGCAAGGTTTCCAACGACTAGGTACAAGTTTTCTTCGGACTCATCATTTAGGTCCAGGTCCGTTCGACGTCATTCCCTCACAGGCTGTGCGAACATACAGAGCATACCGACAATAAGTTACCTAATCTGGATTCTGGAAAATGAACGGCTCGACGGCGACCTGACGTTCGTTAGACGCCGGCGTCCAGCATGTTGTTTGCACGGCAAGCTTGGAGTGCCGATCCAACGGCGCTGCCAGCGACGGGTTCTTGGGGAAGCTGGAAGCTGCGAAGTATGTATGTACTGTACAGTACAACAGCAGCCTGGCGACTTCTGTTAAGAGGGGTAGTCGAGAGGATGAATTTTACATACAAAAAATCGGGTTGCACTAACAGACATCTTCCCTTCCAAAGTACCCTGACTGACAAGTAGCAGTAACTCATGGCAACCTCATTCAGTCTACAGCAAGTATTCTTGCACCGACAAGTTGAAAGCTCCAACACCACCGATCCGTGAGCACCTAATTTGGCTATGGCAGCAGCAGCGGATTTTTACCGGTTTCGCTGCGCTTCAGCGAATGGAGGCATGACCTTGCCGAGCCGACGCGAAAGAAAAGCGTCCTTGATCCGAGGCTGCCATGATCTAATATTACTGACGGCGATGTGGAAGCATTGCTACTACTAACGCTACCTAGTATGGCGTTTTAGGCGGAGCGGCTAACCAAGCCCTGGAACGACTTGCCAGGCAAGATCTCTTGACAAAACCACGGACAAGGGACCATGACTTGCGATCTCTGAGACCGAACGGTTCTTGTCAAACTGTGGGCCAGGAGCTCAGGTTCAAGTTTCTCTTCTTGTTGTCCGCCGGTGTATATTATTCCGCCCGCCCTTCCAACATCTCCTCATGATCAAGGCCACATTTCCGCTGCCGATCAGGCCTGAGCTGCCCTTCTCGCAACCGTTTCTTGCCGCTCCTTAGACCAATACTAAGGAAGCATTGAATGCCTAGGCTTATTCATCGTCTTCTCAGGAACCCTCCCTTTCGGCGTCAGCGGTTCGTCTGGAACTCTTGATCGCTCTGCTCATGTTGAGGTGTGGTGCTCTGGTTTCAACCTAGCTGCCACGATCTTTTACCATAATGACGACTGACCCCTGATTCCTACGAGTACGTTATGGTCATGCGGAGCTGATGAGTCTGGGTTGTGATGGAGGTTGGGATGCTGCGGGTTACCCGCGTACTGTGGCTGGCTGCTACACGGTTATGGACTGGTGAACTCGCCTTGAAGGCGGAGACTGTCCAATTGGGGAACCGGTATCAGTCAATCCTTTGGTCACAAGGTAACTCAAAGGTCGGTCGGAAGACCGCTCTTCCCAGGCTCCAATCAGACACTCGTGGCTGTCGCCCGCCCCCCGACGGCTGTGTGAGACAGCTGCAGCCTCTCTTTCAGCCCATGCGCCCCGAGGTATGACAAACCATCAGCATTGCTCGATAACATAGTGCCGTATGAGAGACAAGAGACAGAATACAAGACGAGACGGAACCCCAAAAGAGCACCCATCCCCCGGATAGGTCTCGTCCAGTCCTCCTGCTTGTTACTACTAATACGACTTAGTATACTGACACAAACAAGCAGCAACCTGAATCTTCATTCCTATTTGCGCTCTGCCCTACACGTAATACCATGCGTGTCTCCATCAACACCGTCCAGGCCTTGGTGCTGGCGGGAACCGCCTTCGCCGATCTAGGCGTCTCGCCCGCTAGGGTCAACCAGCCCTCGGACCCCGGCTCCTCGTTCAACATCGAAAAGATCGTAACCACTCCAGAAATCGTGCCCAAACCGGATGTAGTGCTCCTAGTCGATGTGACCGGCAGCATGAACGACACCATTGAGAATATCAAGACGAACCTTCACAGCGTCATATCGACCGTCAGCGACGCGCAGCCCAACGCCCAGTTCGCCGTGGCCAGCTTCGGCGATCTGGCAGACCCCAACGGCTTCGACGTGGTCCAGGAACTGACAGACGACGATATCACGCTGCAGAACGCCGTCAACTCCCTCCGGGCAGACCACGGCGGCGACGAAGCCGAGGACTGGATCAATGCACTCTATCTCCTCTCCACCGGCGCAATCTCCTTCCGCACGGGGGGTAGCCGGATTATTGTTCTCATCGGCGACGCGCCCAGCCACGACCCCAGCGGCGGACACACTCTGGCGGGTGCCACTGGCGCCTTGACCGCAGGAAACATCCGCGTTATCGGCGTCAACGTGGGCAGGCTCGACCGAGACGGCCAGGCCACCGTCGTGACGAGCGCCACGGGCGGCATGATCATCGGCTCGGCAGCCGACGAGGTGTCCGAGGCGATTGTCAGCGGGCTGAAGAACCTCGACGTGACCGTCAAGCCCGACGTTGTCTCTTGCGACGGCGGGCTGAGCGTCGAGTTCGAGCCGACCGAGATCCTCGTGAGCAGCGGGAGCACCGTGGCCTTTGCCGAAACGGCCAAGGTGGCCGAGGACGCCGTGCAGGGGGCTGCCGTATCATGCTCGGTGCGGTTCCTGCTCAACGGCGCGCCCGGCGGCGCAGCGTTCGTCCAGAACGTTACCGTGCCCGTCAACAAGCTCGGCTGCTTCACGTGCGACCCGCGGCCGGGAAAGAACCTGTGCCACATCACCACGTCGTGCGCGCCGACCCCCTTCGGCACCATGTGTCTGACCCGCCCGGGCTACAAGGCGGACGGCGCGGCCGACGACGACATCAAGGTGCAGTGGCGCATCATGTGGGCTGGAGTCCCCGGCCACGAGCACCGTGTCGCGGTCAAACCGGGCATCACGGCGAACACCCTGTGCGATTCGAGGAACAATGGCCGGGATGTCTGCAAGGAGGTTGCGGTTGCGAAGTGCTTGCCTGTGAACAAGTTGGAGACTGCAGATGGGATGCACAACGGCGATCAGAAGGTCATAAACGACGGCGAACTTTGAGGTGATGCATCCTGGGCGCGAACCCCCTAGCAACCTCACCGTCTGACGAGTATGTGTCTAAGCGAGCCAGACATGACCAAAAGCGACGAATACATAAATCAATTGTGATACTAGTATTGTCCGCGATGCCCAACACGGTTAGCTGGTTTTGAGCTGTGCCTCAAGGGTTCAGCTGAACAGGAAGCGCGCGGAGTTTGTCTTGGACTCTTGGTGGTCAGACTGTCTCCACGCAGTCCTTCGCGCACCTCAACTTTGTCCGACACAGAGCCGCCGTGAGAGCATCACTACTAGTAGCTACTACAATGGATAAGTTATCCGAGAGTCCGATTTACCCCCCTTTCTGTTACAGCGAGGAGGAGAAGGCGGAGCTAGGCGCGGCGGACACCCAGTTCCGCCTGCTGGAACTACTGCCGTCAGCCAGCGAGGAGCAGCTCAAATGCCGCATCGTGGTAAGGGAGATCGAAAAGCCATTACAGGACTATAAAGCACTTTCATACTGCTGGGGCAATGGTGGCGGGTCGCAGTTTATAACTGTGCTCCCCGCGAAGAAGTCGAAGGGCAATGCCGGTGATCCTGAGGAGGACAGTGTTGGTGAGCCCAAGGCCTTGGCCATCACCGAGTCGCTGCACACCGCGCTGCTCCATTTCCGCGATGCGAGCACCTCCGTCTGGTTGTGGATCGACCAGATCTGCATTAATCAACGAGATGGCAATGAAAAGGGACAACAGGTGCGACTCATGGGTTCCATCTACACCAGGGCCGAGCAGGTACTTGTGTGGCTGGGCCCAGCCGAGCAGGTGCTGGTGTGGGTGAACCCCGAAGAGCACAGCTCAGACGTTTTGATGGATGCGTGGCAGACGGTGGGACAGGAGGCCCGGAATTTCGGCATGGAAAGCTACTACACCAAGGAAAGGTGGCCGCTTCTGAGCCGTATCATGAACAATATCGACCCTGGCGACCCAAAGACTGCGGAGTTCCAGAAGTTGGTGAGGTTAGCGGCAGAGAAACTCGCTCCACTCATTACTCGCCAGACCCTCAGACACTGGCTTGCGCGGCCGTGGTTCGGACGAGCCTGGACCGTCCAGGAATTTTGTCTCTGCGCCAACACCGTCTTCGTCTGTGGCAGCAAGCGGGTCCCGGTTGAGTTTGTCATGCTAGCCATCCAGGTTTTGCAGTTCTCTGCCGTCCGACTGATCACGAGTGCGGTGCCACTCGAGCTTCTTGAAGAGGTTGCCAACGAGCCCACGGCGCGTCTCTTCAGCTGTCGTCAACGCCGCCGAAAGCTAGACCGCGGTGAGGAAGGCGCCACGGGGGACCAGCTCCATGCCCTTCTGCGCAAGCTTTACGTCGGCCGCAATACCCAAGCCACGTTCCACCGCGACCGCATCTTCTCTCTCTTAGGCCTAGCAGTCGACACTCACTCACTTGACATCAGCCCAGACTACGCCGAGAAAGGCGAAGCTCCCGCGGAAGCCCGCATGCTCACCCGCGCGGCCCGCGCCATGATCACCAACCCCTCCACCGGCCGCATCGACGTCCTCTGCTATTCGCAGTTCCCCAAGGCCCCGGACCTCGCCAACGACCTCCCCTCGTGGGTCCCCGACTGGCGCGGCAACCTCCGCCCTTCCTTCTACACCATCCACGAAGCGACCGACACCCACCTCTTTAGCGCCTGCGGCCCGGAAACCAGCGTCCGATCGCTCCCCACCACCCCGTCAATGCCACACTCCGCCCTCGGCCTGGCAGGGTACCTAGTCGACACCGTCTCCGCCATCGCCGCCGGCGGCACCTGGGACGACATGTCGTGGGACGCGGCGCGCTTTTTGGGCTTCTTCGCCCAGGTCGACGCGCTCTTTGCCCACAGCCTCTCAGTCTCTGCTAACCTCCCGCAATTCTACCCCTCCGAGTCCCGACGGCACGAGGCCCGCTGGCGCGTGCCCATCGGCGATCTCTTCTGGACGAGCAGGGGCAGCGGCCCGCGCATGCGCCGGCCGGGAGGTGGTTCTTCTGAAACGGCGCAGGCTGCGCAGCTGCAGTGGGCACAGTGCGTGGAGAGTCTGCGCTGGTTCGATGAGTGTGAGAAGTTGGCGGATGTTGCAGAGCAGAATAGGCGGCTTGTGGAGTGGGATTGGGAAGGTAAAAGGGAGCGCGGGGAGTTGGGAGGTGATTATCACGAGAGCATGAAATACGTGATGGGGAAGAAGCCGTTTTGCACGGCGGAGGGCTATCTAGGTATGGGACCGGCCGGGGTCAGGGAGGGGGATGTGGTGGTGGTGTTTTGCGGGGGGCGGATTCCGTTTGTTTTGCGGCCGGTGGAGGATGTGATTGTGGCGGGGGATGGGGACGGGGGGACGAAGAGGATGTTTCGATTTGTGGGAGAGGCGTATTGCGACGGGGTTATGGATGGGGAGGTTGTGGGTGTGCGACAGCTGACAGAGTTCTACCTTGTCTGAGTTGCTACTCCCTAGGTAGGTATCTAGGTAGCTGAAGACCTCAGGTGCCAGACTTTGCAGGTGGCAAGGCCAGATCTGGAGTGGGGGAAGGAAGGTGTAACCCGGTGTCCAGGCTCGAGCCAGGGTACCTCAAATTCTCAATACCCGGTCCCGGACTTCAACTTTACAACCAGTCAACCGAAGAAAGATTCATGTCAAATGAAGTTTGACCAATATGTCTGTGGTTGTTCGGTCTCTACCTAGGAAATGCACTCTTACCCCAACGTTAAAGTCTTCAACTACATAATAAGGTACCTACATACCCTATCTCGTTTGGTTCGCATAGGCGAAGTGTGGTGAGATAAGATGTAATGTCACATCCCCACACGATCTAGCCGTCGAAAAGCCGGAAGACACCAAGATATCTAACCTGCATTAGGTCTAAATGCGGAAGGTCAATCTCTCTAAAGACCCTGGCTCGGCACTTGGGGCCGCATGACCGAATGAAATACCGCAACGGGCTCCCTCGAATTTTCGGGCCTCCATCTCAGCTAGACAGCTACTTACCTATCCGAGTTCATCAGAGTTCCTTAACATATTCCCCGGGACTAGTGCGGCGCGACCCTGACGTAGCAGGCTTCTGGGGCTCAGCGCATATTCCCCAAACGTTGAAACGGAATGGATGGGGGCTTGGGGAAGGTCGCAATGGAATTGCATAACCCCCTATCGCGGCTCAGTTCCCCAAAAGCGGAAGCTGATTTGCCGAGCCACACTCTGGGCGAAACCGACGCATGGGGCGGACGGCAAGTGATGGTCTGGTAGGTTGATGTCGCCGTTGTTAATGCCACATCTAGCTGAGGTACTACTATAAGAGCTTCCCCCAGGATGCCTTGGCATCAAACCTGAACCACGATTAGTACCCATCATCAGCTGTGCTCCGAGTGTCCTCTACGACAAGTCAAGATGAAGGTCGCTGTCCTTGCTCTGTCTGCCCTTCTTGGGCTTTCTTCGGCTGCTGCTGTCGAGTCGGCCGGGAGAAAGTCTTATGACGGGTATAAAGTCTTCCGCGTTGGCGTCGGCCAGGATGTAGCCAGGGTCAACAGGATCATCGACAAACTTGGCTTGACAACATGGAAGGGCGCACCCCGGCCAGGTGTTGCTGCGGATATCGTGGTCCCGCCTTCGCAGATCAGTTCTTTCGAGGCTGAGATAGCGGGTATGGAGGCCGTGACGATGCACGAGGACTTGGGCGCGTCCATCGCCGAAGAAACGGCCTTCAGTACCTACGCGGGTATGTTGTGCCGGTCCACCGTCATGCCTGATTTTCACTCACAAGCATCTTAGCGGGCTCGGCCAATCTCTCATGGTTCAACTCGTACCATAGCTACAACGACCACCTGCAGTTCTTGCGTGACCTTCAGGCCATGTATCCGACACAGTCTCAAATTGTGTCTTCAGGAACCTCGCTGCAAGGGAGGAACATAACTGGCATCCACTTCTGGGGCAGCTCTGGCAAGGGAAAGCCGGCTGTTGTTTTCCATGGGACTGTGCATGCTCGAGAGTGGATTACGACCATGGTGGGTGTTCAAAAGTCTTACCAGACTGCAGACAGCGAGAGAAAGCGGTTATTACTGACACACAGACTACTAGGTTGTTGAGTACTTCGCCTACATTCTCCTGACCACCTCGAACACGGCCGAGGTCCAGGGGTTCCTGAACAAATACGACTTTATTTTCTTTCCCGTTGTCAATCCAGATGGTAAGTAAGACTTGAACAGTAGTTGTTTACCATCTAGCCCCTGAATTTGGATAGCTGACTAGCACACTCTATCAGGCTTCGTCTACAGTCAGACCAGCGACCGGCTCTGGCGTAAGAATCGGCAGACGAGAACGAGCAGTTCGTGCGCCGGCACCGACATCAACCGCAACTGGCCATACCAATGGTCCGTTAGTGGCGGAGCCTCGACCTCCCCGTGCGCCCAAGACTACAAGGGTCAGGCTCAGGGCGACGCTCCCGAGACGACTGCGCTTGCTTCGTGGTTGCGCTCGACCAAGGCCAGTCAGGGCATCAAGCTCTACATGGACTGGCACTCGTATTCGCAGCTGTTCATGACTCGTAAGCACCGAAATCTCGTTATTAGTACTCTTAGCAAGATCTGGGTTATAAGCTAACATTTGCAATGACAGCCTACGGATACTCTTGCACAGCAGTTGCAAAGAACAACAACGAGCTCCAATCCCTTGCCAGTGGCGCCGTGGCGGCCATCCGGTCTGTCCATGGCACCAGTTTCCAGGCGGGCCCCATCTGCTCAACCATCTACAAGGCCACGGGCACCAGTGTCGACTACAGCCACGACGTGGTCGGTTCTCAGTATACCTTCACCGCCGAGCTGCGCGACACGGGCAACTACGGCTTTGTGCTGCCGGCCAACCAGATCCTGCCCAGCGGCGAGGAGGCCTATGCCGCGGTGAGGTATCTGCTGCAGAACATGAAGTGAGGGATTATAGGATCACTGGTGGAGAAACCCTGGGCTGAGTCGGAGCGGCCCGAGAGGCTATCTCAACTATGGGACTCGTATTGAATATTTGTCTCCATAGGGGTTACAAGCGCTGTGGGACTGGAGTGTCTGGCTGAACGCTGGCGCTCCTGAATGAACTCGATTGGTGGTCATGGTCCATAGTTCCAGTATCTTATCCCCGTCATATTCTCGGGGATGAAAAACTAGCCTGAGTGATGGGCACCTCAGTGAACTCGATTGGTTGTGAGCGTCGTGATGGACCCAAAAACTGTTGCCTGGCCACCAGAACCCCTTGTATTTTTGTGTGACGGGGCTCAGGCAGCAACAGCTAGCATGGCCAGGCCTTGAATTAAAGTCGGAAAGATCCAGCGGTTTGGGGAAATGAAAGCGTGAGCATTCAATTGTCAGAATTCGTGGTATCCGTCTTGTCAAGGCCATCCGCCATGGAGCAGTTCCTCCTCGAGAATGCCGAGCGCTTCAAGCTTCTTGTTTCCCGGTTTAAACCCAATGCAGCTCCTACCAAGGGAGGGAGTGAGCCGGGCGACTCGAGCCCTGATATCCTTGTCAGTGCCCGTGTGCGTCCGATGCTGGAGGATGAGACCGATCAGGGCTTCCCAGTAGGCGTCTACCTTCGGGACGGCACCAACACGCTGGATTTTCACGAGCTCAGGAGGCCAGTGAGAGGACTTCCAACAATTAGCGTAAGCCTCGAGCCGGGTAGGAGGGAATGGAAGATGCTGACATGCAGACAGTCGTTCAACTACACGGTGGACCGGGTATTTGGCCCCGATGCCACGACCGCCGACATCTACGAGTCTCTGGTCAAACCGCTCGTCCCGTGGGCGTGGGGCGGTGGTATTGGAACCATGTTTGCCTACGGGCAGACCGGGTCGGGAAAGACGTTCACCGTCAGTGGCCTTGAGCAGCTTGTGGCTGAGACGCTGATGGACGGGTCGCTGGACGGCGAGAGAAAGATCCATATCTGCATCATCGAGCTGGCAGGGCAGACTGCGTATGGTAAGTCAAGAAGCTTCCCATACTGAGTCCCTTCCACCTTACTCATATCGCATCATAGACCTCCTCAACAGCCGCAAGCAAATCTCCATCCTCGAAGACTCCTTCGGGACCACGCAAATGGCCGGCGCCCTAGAGCACCAAGTCACCGACAAATCATCTCTTCTGGAGCTGATCAAAGCCGCCGCATCCCTGCGCCACACGGCACCAACCCTCAAAAACGACACATCCTCCCGCTCTCATGCCATCTGCCGCATCCGCATCGAGAACCCCCTCATACCCTCAGCCGAGGACGGTCTCTTGTACCTGATCGACCTCGCGGGCTCCGAAGCAGCGCGGGACAAGACGGACCACGACGCAACACGCATGAAAGAGTCGCGCGAGATCAACACCAGCCTGTCTGTGCTGAAGGACTGCATCCGCGGCCGCGCCCTTGCCGACGCCGACGTCCTCGGTCCGAGCACCAACAAGAGGCAGGGCGCTTATGTGCCCTTTCGGCAGAGCACCTTGACCAAAACACTGAAGCACGTCTTTGATCCCGCGAGCAACCGCAGCTGCAGAACAGTCGTGGTCGCCTGTGTGAACCCCTGCGCGGCCGACGTGGGCGCGAGCAAGAACACCCTGCGCTACGCCGAGATGCTGCGCGTGGTGGTCCCTAAAAAGAAGGGCGTGACCTACGACCTTAACGTGCCCGCTACGTGGAACAACGAGCAGCTGCGGAGCTGGATAGAGAAAAACGTATGTTTTCCCGGGCACCACCAGCTCGTAACCACATGTACACAATAAAGTCCTAACCCAGAAACAGTCCGGTAACCCACCCATCTCCGCATCCCTCCTCGCACCACACGAAACAGGCCCGCAGCTTCTGCGCCTGCCCCTCTCTGAGTTCCTCACACGGTGCCTCAAGAGCGACGGCGTCTCGCCCGAGCAAGCCCAGGCGTTCCAGGCCAAGTTCTGGAAACTGCACGTCGATTCTTCGCAGCAGCAGCGCAGCAACAAGAAGCCGGATCCCGCAAGCCGGACCTCTACTACTGCTAGTAGCAACCCCTCTCAAACACGGCTGGAGCTCCTCGACTGCAGCGCCGACCCCGACGCAGACTCTGATGCTGGGGTCATCCCCTTCAAGCAACGCATTCGTCCGGGTATGGTGGTTAGTTTTGACCCGCCGGCTGAATACGCCGGTTTTGCAGTGGGCGGTCCGCGAGGGAAGGGTTTGGCGGTGGTGCTGAGCCCTGTCTGGGCTGTTTCGCGCAGGGTCAAAGACGTCCGAGGCGCGCTGGTTAATCCGGTCACCGAGGGGAATGATGACGCCCACGGAGCAGAAGGGAAGGGGAAACGTGAACGGGAGGATGAGGCCTACCTCTGCGCGCTCGTCATGCCGGGGCTGTTGCCCGGTTCGTATGGCGTTGGGTTGTGGCGGCAGGTTGTGGTGCAGGTGAGCAGGATGGAGGAGGAGGTGTTAATGGAGTGGGACGAGGCGACGCGGTATTATTACCTGACTGTCTAAGCTGAGGGATGAGGAGTCAGGTTGAGTTGGGCTACCGAAGCCTTTGTTGAGAGTGCTTTGGTACTTTAAACGGGGGATTTGTGCCAGGTGTTACAGAAAGAGAATGCACTACTAGTAATCGAGCTGCGTGAGCATCAGTCTGCAGAGCCATCACGATGCTCGCTCGCATCGCCGTAACTCACATCGACTTGCCCAAACGCAGGAAGGTCAACGCTCCTTCAGCCAGCTTCTCACAACCTCCTCCGTCATGTGCTCATACACAATCCCTTTCTCATTCAGCCGCCCGAGCCCGGCAAGAGCCCAATCCTGACAGTTCCAGCTCGACACCTCGTCCTTGACAATTTCGACATCGGCCATGATTTCGTGGATACAATCGAGCATATCTGAGTCGTCAACTTGACCAACCTCAAGTCTGTCTTTGGGCTCGCCAAGCTCTGAGGCAGGGTCCAGTGTCTCCGGTCCGGGATAGTAGAAGCCTCCCGGCATGCCGCGGGGTTGGAATGCATAGCCCCGACTGTTATGGTCATGGACTTCCGTCTCGATGAAATACATCCAGTGGTATGGTTTGACGGCGACTGTCAGTGGATGTGTACCACGGTCAAAAGTGAGCAGGTAAACTGTGTGCTTCGGCATTCTCGGGGGTTGTCGTTATGGGAGGTGGGAACGTCAACAAGAGGAAGGCTGAGTGGTTCCTGACTGGGAGTGTTTTGTTGGTGTAAAGAACAAACGTTCTTGCAGTTGGTAATATGGTATTGTCCCTTGAGTTGTGGCCAGATTCTGGCATGGTCATGCCGGGGTGGCGGTAAGCCTCTAAGGAGGGGTCACTGTTCTCAAGCGGCCCCCAGCCATCGTTGTGCAGTGCTTGGCTCCTCGGGGCATGAGCACAGCACCAGCCTCCAGGCAACCTTGGTGCGTCAATTCTAGGCAGCCAAGGGATAAACCCTGGCTGCTACACATCCTCTGGGATCAGAATATCCAACAGCAGCCCTGCGAGGGCCAAGCCAACCAATCCGAAAAGCACCAGTTGTCAACTTGGAAATGCTCGCAGGACGATCTGGGCTGCTTGGCCACCTTAAGTATCCAACCGTGGCAGCATCTCCAAAACATGAGAAAGCCAAAATATACCCCAAAACATCAAAACACAGATACTGTATTCCCAATCCCTCCACCAACCGCCTTCACCCGCCCGTTAATCTCCAACGGGCTGCCCTCCCAGATCACAAAATGCCCCTTGTCAACCCCTGGCTCCTCCAACCCAAGCATCTTGTACAGATTGCCGCCCACCATCTCCAACGCCCCTCTCTCATCCACCCTCCCCTCGCCATTAGCAAACACAATCCCTGCCAGCAACCCCAGGTCTCTCACCAGCCAGTCTTCCTCCAGCCCAATCGCAGTCAACACCCCGGCATCAAGCAGCCTGTCCACACAGGTGCCGTTCGTGAGGGGTGCGCCGGTCAGGGCCCGCCTCTGATCCCAGGACTTGGCATATGACTGCAGCGGTGCCAGTACGACGCCGACATTGGCAGAAGCAAGTTCGTCCGCGAGAAGGTACGACTCAGCACCACCTAGAATGACTAGCCGTATCTTGGAGCCCGTGACGTCGTCAACGGCAGACTTCACCTTGAGCAACGCAGCAATGGTGTCGGCGTTGTGCACGTTAATGACGAGCGGGAGGGAGCCGTTGACTACCTTCCGAAGGAACAAGGGCTCAGAGTAGGCCTCTCCGGTGGTGTCGTTGAGGGTGGAAGCGGCAGTGAGAAGCTTGCGGCGGAGAGTGCCGATTGCAGCGGACATGGAAGACGGCGTGTTTGGGCCGTCAGCTCCAGTGGCTGAAACATCGAGCGTGTAGTGTACTGCGGCGTCGCCGGCGAATATGGCGTCCTTGTCGAGGGCTGTTTTGACGTTGGTCAAAAATCCCACGCTGGTGCCGTGGTAACCCCCGGCGTCACTGTATTTGGGAGCAGAGATGGCTTTTGTAACACCATAGCTGTGGGCGACGCGGAGCTTCTTATTGTCGACAAGGAGGCCGTCTTCGGCGCGGGTGAAGCTGTCCGGATTCGGGCCGTTATCTGTGTCTCGCTCGGCGTCGATGGCGTTTAGCCCGATAGTAGAACCAAATGCGGTGAGTGACTCGGTGAAGTAGCCATTCTTGAGATTGATGATGGGGGTATTGGACCTGACGGCGGCTTGCAGTTCGGTCTTGCAATCACCGATGCAAACCACCTTTCCTGTGGACACGACCACAGTCATGTTGTTCGCTTGTGGAGCTAGATTTTCACTTGCCTCCCTGAGAATGGCCTTTGAGACACCGGTAAAGACGACCTCATCCATTACAACAGGTTTTTCTTTGGTGGTCTCGGAAAGGCTTTCGTCCGGTGACATGGTTTTGGGAGCGGGCTTTTTCAGCTTCACCGGATTGTCAAACTGCGCTGTGCCATCGATCCATACCTGAACAGGCGTCGCGCCAACACTGAGAGGGTCGCTATCCCATACCACGATATCGGCATCGAATCCCGGTTTGATCTTGCCTAACCTCTGGCCGAACCCCAGTCTCTCAGCAGGGGCCGTTGTCACAGCGGCGAGGGCTGCGTGGTAAGGCAGACCATACTTATATCCCTTCGCAGCCTCAAACAGCACATGCTGGGCGTTTAAGACAGGATTGTCGCTAACATATATCGGTGTCAGCCCGTTGTCGTACAAAACCTTTCCAGCGTACTCGGATCCCCAGTACGCCTCGGCTTTGTACCACATATTGTCAGCAAAGAGGGCTGATGCTGGAGCTTCTCCGCCATACGCGCGTTTGAGAATCTAGGCGTCGGTTAGTGAAAGGGGGTCATGTCTGTAAGTAGCCGGTTTTACTTGCCTCGGGGACTAGGTATGTCTGATGAGCGTGGTGAAAGGCCCGGACCTTGAATTTGAACTCATTTGTGTGGTCTACAAAGGCCTCGAGATCCGGAATGGTGTAACAGTGAGTGTTCAAGCGCACCTGGTCCCGCAAGAGAGCTACCAAGGGCTCCCAGCGAATTTCCTGCGGTAAGTAGCTCTTCATGCTGTGTATGCCTGACACAGCTGCCATGTGGCACCAGTCATCCTGCCGCCTCACCAACGCTGACGCTTGCTCAAAGGCATGCCGAAACTCCCAACTCTCGCCGAGGCGAGACGTCGGTCCATGCTCGCCAGGTTTGCCATAGAGCCGCTTAGGGTTCTCACCGCAAGCCATCTTCATGAAGCGCCAGTTACGGTCAGGGTCCGCGAGCATGTCTGCGGCACTGGTCTCGTTGCGCCCGTCCCGCTCGCCAACAGCGTGTTTAATCACATACGCCTCCCCGCCCATGTTGTTTGCGGAGCCGGGAAGCATCAGACTCGTGGTCACGCCGCCCGATTTGATGACCTGGATCTGTGGGTCGTTGGGCTGCAGGCCATCGATAGCCCGGAGGTATGGGGTGATATCAGACGACATTTCGTTGCCATCACTGGTTCCCCAAAGGCCTGGCAGAGACTCGACGCCGGCATGAGTGTGCATGTCGATGATACCGGCGGTTAGGGGCCGTCCTCCGGCATCGAAGACGATGGTGTTCTCTGCAACGGAGGACAGACTGATGGAAGCTTCGACGCGCTTGATCAGTCCATGCTCCATATACACGTCTGCAACGACCCAGTTGAATCCTACGCCGCGACGGGCGGCTTCAGGCGGAGTGCCCTTGGTTGGCTCACCGACCCAAACGTTGGCATTTTTAATGAGGGTGGGCGCATGGCCTTTGACGTAGCGCGCGTTGCGCTCCCTTCCTAAGCCAATCGGGTCGGAGGCCTTGCTTTTCAGCTTGCTGCAGGTGGCGAGGTCGTCATGCAATTGTTTGACTGAGAGGCCGTGTACTGTAATCTCCGCACTGGACGGCAGCACCGAAGACGGGGAAAGTTGCTTCCACTGCGCGAAAGCGATGAAACACAAGCAGCCAAGAGCCAAGAATCGCACTGTTTTCGATCGCCGGCGTGGCCGCCCACGCAGCCAGCTGGGTCCCTGCCGCGGAAGTGAATCGCTCTTGTGATCCATACCTAACACCTTTTCAGCTGCTTCCAGTGCTCCAGCCCTATTAAGGAATCCACGAGGCACCTGCCGTGGCCTAAACAATCATTGGAGTTGAAAAGGGAATGGACATCGTTCAGACGCGCGTAGTTGCCAAGAACCAGTTTGGCACAAGACTGTGGGGCTTGCCCCGGCTTCCTCCAATGAGAGGGGTGGTGTCCATCGGGAACGATCTCGCTTCGTTGAGACGGGAACCTTGATCCTTCCGCGTCTGCGTCGTGATTGACGATTCTGTCAAAGTATCAAACATCGATGCTATGAGGCACGGCGGAGCGTGGCGAGCGATTGGGTCTTCTACTTTGATCTTTAGTTGTAGTGGAGGTATCACAGGGCGTCAGGCGCCTGACTCTACCTACTGCAATGGCTTCTACGGAGTACAGCCTACCTGCAGGTTCGCAAACCCCGCAACAGTGGTACCACGTGTGGTGGCACCCTGCATCAATCTATCGAGCAAGGTGTGCAGAAGCGACACACGTGTTGACCTCATTGAGAAGAGATACGGGAACCTAACTTGACCCGAGAAAAAGAGATGGCCCGCACCTAGGGATAGGCAAGAAAGCTGCGACTGCGAGGCAGCACGCATCTTGGCCTCTTGCTTGGGCCATAAGACTTTTCGTTTAGGCCGCACCTAATTCTAATTTCTAGCGCCTACATCGTCAGACGTTGATCAATCATCCCCATTGGTCTCGGATTAGAGGCACGTCGAAAATTACAGATGCATCCGTATATTGTTGAAGACCAGTCTGCCGATCCAGTTCGCCACACAGATGCTTGGGCAGCTTTTCTCAACGCAAGGTTTGCGAAGCGGAAGGAACTTTACGAAAACTTCAGTGGCCGGGAGAAGGAAATCATTCGAAAGGAACTGCGGCGCATCCGGTATTTGAGAGAATACTTCGGCGGACATCGACTGTCTCCATCCGATCGCTTCCCGCTGGTTGCGTTGCTGGAACAATCGCATCTTGACTGGAGAGAATATGCCACTCGTCGATGCATGGAAGAGCTCCCCCGCTGCGAGGTTGAGATCGCGAGAGCCAGCGGCCAACAAAGACAGAAGCTCAATAGGGACAGGCTGATCTTTAAGCAGGTGCAGCAATGGCCAACAGAGCAGTATGCGGATATTCAGCGCTCTGTAGCACCAGATATTTACATCGCTGGTCTAGATGCCGTCGACGACAGCGTCGACGATGACCCCCGGAAGTCTGACTACGGGTACAATGGCTGGCTCATGGCGTTCAAAAAGCACCAAGGGGGCGTCACGTTGAATCACCCCCTGTGCCACGGAGAGTTTCCACACCAGAAGATAGCGATGCAAAAACTGCTCTATGACAAGCAAAACACGCCCCTGAGGCGGTCGACGGATAAAACACAGCTCCGATACTTCCATCTTCAAGCCAACAACATGAGATGGGTGCAAGACGCGATCGCGCGTTACTATGGTGAAGACGCAACCGAATTTGACGTGTTGAGAAGTTCACACCAGAACCGGTTCAATCAGGCGTCTGTTTCGAGAGCGCAGTCAAACACCGAGAGACTGTTGACGCGCGAGCTCTGGCACGGACAGGAACGGGCTGGCGGCGACACTCGTATGCCTCCTCACTCTCGCCAAATTCGGCCACGTTGTGCCGTGGTTCCTTCGCCGCCATGGAATACACCAGGATCCCTTGAAGGCGGCGGTAACCAAGCACGACCAAATGATGACACGGGGGATGTCCAGTCGTCGCCCAGGTGCAGAGACCTTGTACTCTTTGTGAGTCGAGATAAGACCTCTGGTGGACACTCGGTCGATATGGCTAATCGTATGGTCCAACAGATGCCATACTTGCATTGGGAGGTTGAGAAACGCCTAGTCAGAATGACGAACGTCATTCGAAAGACCAGACAAGCGTATGATAGAGAATCAGCACTAGAGCGCCTCAACAAACGACGAGGAACCTGGACCAGCGTTGTTGAGAGAGCCAAAGCCCAAGCAAGACGCACTGGCACCACCTCATCGGATGTTGGGGAATGGCACGAGGATTCACCATCTTGGCAACCACAGTCGCCCCTAGGGAAATACCTCTGGCGCGCTTCCAAATTATTCCAGCTCATCGACGAAGCAGCAGATTGGCGGCTGATCAGCGAGCACCTATACACCCAGTCGCCACTTCATCCTCGACGCACTCTGGAGCAATATCGCTGCTGGACTGCAGAAGATACAACGCAAAGAGACCGACAGCAGGTAGTCTACCGCGTGAGACGGATGAGGAACGACCTTGAAGCTATTCCAAGGGTCGTTATGGTAGACCAGCTCTGGCTTTGGATCCTGGACGAAAGTAAGTTTGATCACTGCCGGCAGTGCCGGATGAGTGCAATCCTGACTAAAGTGTGAGCCAAGATACCATCATTACTGCGTTTCCTCGCAGATGGGGCCGCAACAAACCCGACCCCTCGGCGGTGCACCGGGTGATTCGGGATCGTTTGGGGGTGATCGAGGGCAGCCAAATCTCTTCCATCTATACCATTGCGCTCACAATTATTGACGAGTGCTCCAAGATTTTCTTCGACAGGACTAAGCCGGACCTGCGGCCAGAGGTAGTGGACATGTACGGGTCCGCAATCTCCAATATTGTGAGCCCCTCCGTTGCAATTTGTTAATCGCAACCTTGAAAATGCTGTGCTTACATATCATCCAAAGTCTGAGAAAAAATCAGAAGCATATGAGCGATTCGGGCGAGATGTCAAGAGGATGAATGCCCAGGATCCGCTGCAAACGGCCGAGGAACTACTCAGAAAGTCTCTAAGTATCAAGTATGAGTGGTCGGTGCTGATGGAGGCACAAAATGTCATCGACCAGTTACAAATCATGCAAGAGATTTTCACACAGCAAATTACCGTCATAGGAGATTTTGAGAAGGCATTACGGACTAGCATGAGCGTGGAGCAGTGGGACGAATTCAGGGACGCTGCGGAAGACGCGAGCCTGCTGATAACAGAGATGAAGCTGCGCAGGGATGAGCTTTCCGAGCTGGAAAGCCGGCAGGCAAACACGAGAGGCCAGGTGAGAGGAAAGCGCACAGCCGACTGATGCGGTTCCACAGTTGACCTTGCTGCAGCTGAGAGAACTGCTGGATATTAAGCAGCAGCAGTCTGGTATCATTGAGGCAAAAGCCGCGATTCGCCGCGCAGACGAAAGCGTCACACAGGGGAGATACATCGTGGTGTTCACCGTGGTGACCATCTTTTTTGTGAGTCAGCCATCATACTACTCCTATGTAATACTTCCAGTTCGATTTCTGATAGCCTGAGCCTCTAGCTACCGTTATCGTTTCTTGCCACACTATTCGGTATGAATGCCCAAGAGCTTAACGGAAGCACAATGGCCCTGAGCACTCAACTCATGTGGATGTGTGAGTGCAGTCTGATCTCTTCTGCTTTAACTAGTACATGATGTCTGACGACTCAGTCGTGCTCTCGAGCATTATCATTGGTGCCTCGCTCGCAATCGCATTCAGCACATGGGCAAGGACTGCAGTACTTTCTACATTTAGGGGCGTCTTTGATTTCTTCAGCGGGCGCTTACAGAGCCGGACTGTCGATACCAACCAATTGCATGGCGCTTCGCCGCAAGCCATCAGGGAGTTTATGATCTCGAAGCAGAAGGAGTGGAGTGCCAGGGACAATACCAACGGGGTTGCAACGGGGTCTTTACCGCTCTACGAGGATCCGGCCGAGAAACGGATGTTGACAGGCCTTGCCCATTTGTGGAGGCAGAAGCCAAGGGCAGCGGTGTAGATGTGGTATATTTGCTACCCAGGGTATCTTCAGGATCTGTTGCTCTGGCCTTCCCCTTCCGCCTGCATCTCCCTTACCTTGCTGAGGATGGCATCGTGGATGTCCCGGTCAGCTGTAATAACCCCCCAGTTGTTCACAAGCCGGCTGCCCGCGCCAAAATCGATCCGTTGCCCAGCGACATCGGTAACCTTGCCTCCGGTCTCTGTATATATCAACTGCGACCCGGCATGATCCCAAACGCACCAATGAGCCTTCTCTCCTTCCACCTCCTTCGGCACGCGAACCTGCACCAGCTCCTTCCCGCCGAGCGCCATCGCGGCATAGCGCACATGCGACGAGTAGATCTCGGTCCGCAGATTGCCCAGCGACCCCGTTTTCTGAGCCATTATATCCACCTTCTCCGTCAACGTGGCCGGGCTGTTGGCCGAGTCCACAAACTTCAATTCGCTAAGCTTTGGCTGTCGCAGCGAGCTGCGACTGATCGGCATCGAATCCAGCAAAGCGCCCTTCCCCAACGGCCTCATACTGGCCCCCTTCCCCTTCATCGCGGAAAGCATCAGTCCCCTTCCGACCCGATCCCGATCGTCTTCCTTCACGTCGACGTACCCCGCACCTCTGCCAGACAGCGTCGGGGGCTTGTAGGCGAGATTCGGACAGGCCAAGACGCCAATGACCTCCTTCTTCTTCTCAATCAGCGCCAGCGAGATGGCGTACTGCCCGCCGCGGAGGAACGGCGTGGTCCCGTCGACGGGGTCCATGACCCAGCAGGTGCCCGCGAGCTTCTGCGCCGCGTTGTCCTGCCCGCCCAGCGCCATGGCGTCGAGCATCTCGTCGACCGTCTCGGGCCGGCCCAGGAGCGCTTCGCTCTCGCCGTCGTCGAGCCGCGTGCTCTGGACCAGCTCCCACACCCGCCGGCACAGCCCGTGGTTCTTGCGCAGCGCCTCGGCGTCCTCCTCGCCGAGGAAGGAGTGGTTGCCAAATGCCTTGGCGAGCCCTGAGATGAGCAGGGCTTGCGCGGCGTAGTCGGCTATGGTCACGGGCGTCTTGTCGGGTTTTTTGTATGAAAAGGCGGTTTCGCCGCTGCCGGTGCCGCCGGTGCTGGTGGTGGCGGTGACGCCGTGGCCCCGGTTTTGCAGCTTGGGAAGCACTTCGGTCTTCTGCACCGCCCTGGTTGCCAGGGCGGCGCGTTGGACCGCCAATTGGGCAATGTGCAGTGCGCGCTCATAGGCCTCCTCGGTGCCCCATCTCGGAGCGGTGTCGTGGTGGAAGCTAGGGGTCGTTGTTGGAGGGCTCGGTTGGGCAGACCGAATCTGGAGTTGCTGCATCTGTGCATGTGGTGGCTGCAACTGCCCTGGTTTTGGCTTTGGGTGCATTTTGGGTTTTGGAAAGACCTGCTGTTGTGAGCGATCTTCTACTAGTTGGGAGTGATTCGACCCGGGACCAGCCGCGGGCCACGTCGCCCATGTGAAGAGGTGTCGGTTCATGTTGTGTTGTTTCGTGTTGAATTGTGGTACCGGACCACGCGATGGAATGTTAGGGCGAGGGTAGACACTGGACTAAGTCAGGTTTTCATGTTCTTTTCGGAGGATGGCAAATACTGACACGAATTCGTGGCTGAGACTGACAATCCGAGGGATGTCATACGATGGCAAAATGATTCTGATAATAACAAATCTGGATTTGTGATGGCTCTGTTGGTGCTTGTCATTGGGTGCCAAGTTCGGATGGCGACGAAGGACAGAGCTAGGACTATATACGCATTTCACCATCATGGCGACAGCAGGTGTTCGTGAGAGACAGAGAGAGAGAGGTCTTGTGGTGTTGGCCAGATGTTTGTCCCTTCATGTTATACTACGCGCCGGCGGTTGTCATTTGGTGCTCCTGCACTCCCTTGGTGGCCTCGAGGCCAAGTCAGTCGGGCCCGGCACGGACTCACGCAAAGTGGGAGCTTCATTGGCTCAAATCCACGTGAGGGGCAAGTGTCTGAAAACGCGTGGCGAAGCCACGGGGGCGCATGGTTTACGACGAGCTTAGCAAACGCCCCCAACCAATGGACGACAGTGGCGCCTTTAGAGGCCGCCGCATTTCCGCTCATCCCGGGCCGTTGGTGCTACCCGAAACATGTCCCTTTATTTTCGAGGGTACATACAAAGATGCCTTGAGCTCTGCCCGGGGCTGGTTCTCTACAGGTACTATTGAAAGCTCATATCACCCGTTGCAGCACCCAGTCGCGCGGATAAATCGCGCTGTTCTTGGTCTCTTTGGCGCTTCACGGCCTGGCATGGCCGCATACTGGAATTTTCCCGTGATAGTAGCCAGGCTGGCCCGGCTTGATGTTCGCGCATCGACTGATTAAGGGTTGGCGACGCTGGCTGGTGTTGGTTGCGAATTTCGAGAATACACCAGTTAAGGGGTCTTGTCATGGACACACAGCCGCCGCATCCACAAGGGCGGGACAGATTTGTCGCCTGTGACCCAGATAAAGATTGGAGTTCTTTTTGCTTCTGCATGACAGTCACCCTTCTGCAGGCCAGGACACTCATGATGTTGGCTCTGGCACGAACTCCGAGCGGTTGCCTAGCCTAGCGAAGCTCGCCTACCCCATCCTGGCCAGTCGAGTGAGTCGCGTCGTCGGGCGGTCTGGAGGCAGTGCCTGCTTGTAGACTGAGCGCTTGCATGTCACGGTTCCTGCCAACAGCCAGAGTTGGTCAACTTCGTAACCCCGCTCCGAGTCCGCAGAGACACAAGACCATACGCCATGTCAGACTGGTTTCATAGTTTCTGACAGCGAAGGAATGGTTGGAACTTGGCGTGAAGGACGAAAGACCGCGTTGACGATGGGGACATGCCATCAGCCGCAGACGAAACCCGGGCTCAGTCAGACCGGAAATGGAACTAACGCATAGCTCCGTGGATGAGGCGTGTTGTGGGGACCGGGAAAGGGCAGAGATTCAGGATGGTGGTGGCTGAGTAGATGTGATAGAGAGTTGTTGACAAGAGAAGATCTTGGTGTTTACCCCTTATTCTTGTTTCTTAACATCGGGAAGGGAACCTCCACCGACGCTACGAGGCCCCATGCCGGGTGACCGTAGGGAACAGTCAAGGTCCTAGGTGAAGTCCAAGCCGTTGCTCATTCACCTGTTTGGTTCATCTTGTTACAGTCACTAGCTTAGGGTAGAGCATAGCCCCATTCTAGTGGTTTCTTTTGGTCTTCATTACCATGCGGCTTACACCGTGGGCGTGATGGAATAGCATGGGGTCTACGTAACGACTACAAGTTCCAGCTCCAAGTCTAGGTTACAGCCAATAAAAGTTGGTGTTCTCTTAGTCGGGGCAGCTGGCTTACCGGCTTGCCCGTCACCGAAACCACCAGGCATTCCACCCCTCTAATATCACAGTTAAGCTAGGATGCTGCGTCCGGACAAGGTCTGCTGCAACCAAGGGTACAAGTACCTGTGCTGCTTGGCGCAGATGGTGAAGTACGCAGGTATGCTCCGGCATTGGCAGCTCTATCATGGTACTCTAGGTATATTCGCTGCTCTACTAACACTCCTCTATGATTTTCATCTAAGAACCACAGAATTGAGAGGAATCAGGTTATTCTACTCGGGCCAAACCAGCCAGGACAGAAAACAGCAGAAGAGTAAGACCATCACAGGCCGCTCTCATACCTGCCTAGTCCTTCGGAGGTCTCGCATTGGCCGTTGCGACATAATGACCCCACGTAATCAGCTCCCGACTGCAATCGTCCTGGTCAATCAAGCACTCAATCAGCGTCGGGCCGTCCTTGTTCTCCCCGGCAGCCTTCACCGCCTCCTCCAGCTCGCCCGCGGTAGTGGCCTTCAGCCCCACGGCCCTGCCATCCTCGGCATTGAACGCCTCGACGAGCATGGCATAGTCCCAATTCTTGATCTTGTTATACGACCCGTCGTGGATCTCCACCTCGATGGTGTACCCGCGGTTATTCACCAGCACGATGGTGATGGGCAGCCGGTACCGCACCATCTGCGACACCTCCTGCGCCGTCATCTGGAACGAGCCGTCGCCAATCATGACGATAGTCCGCCGCTCCGGGTGGCGCAGTGCATACCCAAACGCCGCGGGGATGGACCACCCAATGTGGCCCCACTGCATCTCAATCTCAAACTGCGCGCCCGCCGGCAGGCGCAGTTGCATGCCGTTGAACCAGCTGTCGCCCGTGTCGACAAACAGCGTGGTCAAGGCGTTGGCGTCGAGCATGCTCTGCACCTGGCGGGAAATCTCCTTGCGCGTGAGCGGGGCTTCGCTCGGGGCTGCGCACAGCTGGGGCGGGTCGGGTCTCAGCCGGGCGTACTCGACCATGGTGGTGTTGTTGAAGTCAACGCGGGACGCGAGCAAGGGAAGAAACTCGGCGAGGCGGACGCGGCTGAAGTGGGCGCCCGGGAACGTGACGTGGTCCATCTCGGCCTGCATGAAGGGGACGTTGGGCAGGGCGGTCCACCCGACGGTGCTGTAGTCCGTGAAGACGGTCCCGACACACAGGAGGGCATCCGCCCAGTGCACGATGGCGTCGGCCACTCCCGTGCTGACCTGGCCCCAGAACACGCCGACGAACTGCGGGTGGTTCTCCGGGAATATCCCCTTGGCCGCGGGCTGCACGGCCACCGCGCAGCCCATGGCTTCGGCGAGCTTCAGCAGACCCTGCTCGGCTGCCCCGCCGGCGCGGCGGAGTTTTGGGCCGACCAGGATGACAGGTTTGAGCTTGCCGTGAAGATACTCGGCTGCGCAGGCCGCGGCTGCTTCGAGCGCCCCCGTGTCGCTGGCTACGGGCTCTGTGATGGCACTGATGGGACCTGGGCGGACGCAGGAGGCGCCCGCGAGGTTGGTCGGAATCTCGATGTAGCAAGGTTTCCGGGCCAGGAGGGCGTGTCTGATGGCCCGGTCGATCAGGCGGGGGGCGTCCACGGCCCGGGGTATCGCGACAGCGCAGCAGGTGATCTTTTTGGCCATCTCGAACTGGTATGTGTAGTCGGAGGTGCCGAGCGTATGGTGGAGGATGTGGTACTGGCCGGCATCGTTGGTGTTTGGAGAACCGCTGATAAGGATGAGCGGGAGGTTCTCGGCGTAGGCGCTGCCGGTGCCGTTGAAGGCTGAGATGGCACCGACGCTGAAAGTGACAACGCAGGCCGACACACCGTTTGCGCGGGCATAGCCCTCGGCAGCCATGGAGCAGTTGAGCTCATTTGCACAGCCGACCTGGATCAGATCGGGATTGGCTTGCAGCTTGTCGAGGAGGATGAGGTTGTAATCACCGGGAACGACGAAATGGTGTCGGATGCCGATCTGCGCTAAGCGTTCGGCGAGATAATCGCCTACAGTGAACTGCTGACTTGGTGCTGGCATGGTGGACTGTCGTCAACCGTTGGCAAAGGGTTGTGACCTTGTGGGCTGTTCTCTTTCGCTGTAACGAGTGCAAGCAGATATGACGCGCTGGAGTCATGGCGACGTCCAAAATCGAAGATATTTCTATTGCCCCCAGCTGCTTTTATATGTTTGCGGAACGAGTGATGGCGATGGCGATAGCGATGGCCAGCCATTGGCATAATCAATCGTCTTCAGCGTCTCATGATAATGGGTGGGAAGGCGCCTGATGAGGTCCACTCTGCCAGCTCGTGAAGCCATTGCGCTGTGTCGTTGGCCTTGTCGGCAACCGAAGTGGTCTGAGGCTGAACGATCAAGAGTTCGTCTAGATAAACATGCATTAGAACGTCATCAGAGACCGAGCCTGGTAGCTTCTAGACTGCAAGCTTTTCAAGGTTCATTGCCGGCAGCGCGGCGAGTTCCCTACCCTCATCAGCCCACTGCGCGAACAGGCCAGCAGCGCCCGGGCGGTTGGCAGAAGATTGTGCTAGGCGGCAGCATCCGGCGGTGGATGCAGCTAAAGTAACCCTAACCCATCGCTGCCAAAATCTATAACCCCCCACCCCAGTCGCCACGGATACCGTACCTGTTTCCACTCCGATCGCGGTGCCCGCCAATCGAGCCACAACAACACGATGCGGCAAGTCGGCTCACCAAGTTACATTTTGGGTTGCTTTAGCAGACCAAATACGAAACCGAAGATCACGGTCGTTGCTCAAAAAGCACTATCCAAGCTCAGAACTTCATACACGGGCTAGACACACGACGGTCCACATCGATACTAATTTCGTCCTTGGCAGATTCACGGCATCCTGCAATGCCTTCACCTTTCAGTTACTAACCCGCGGTACCTTTTCCTTTCAAAGTCCGACTACCTTACCACCAGCTCGGGTTCGCAGAAATGACTTCGTTCCTGAATCCGTTTCGAGCACGCACTCATCCAGGTACTGAGTGGTTCTCGGTCGGCCTTGCCTCATCCTTCCCCGATGTCGGCTCCGATGAAAGCCAACCGCAACTTTGTGGGAACCAAGGGGCAGACGGCAAGCCAGGTTGCAAAGTTTTTCACGTCCCCCAGACAGATGTCTCCCAGCGGGCTGAAGTTGAAATACCGGCAGAAGAGGGTACTCAAGACTTGACGGACCAAGTGCTCGTCTTTCAATATCGAGGCAAATTCCACGCTGTCGACCATGTAAGTGCTATGAATCAGAACCGATACGAAGCACAGAGGCGGTGATTATGAGTTGCAACGTTGGAGGAAGACTCAAAATTGACCATAAGTTTGCTAGCAATGCCCTCACTCCTCATACCCCCTCTCGCGTGGCATTCCGTTTGATATTGAAGACTTTGGTATCGTCCTGAGCGCCGGATTGACGTGCCCAAAGCACAATTGGTCGTTTGACCTCTTCTCCGGCAGGTCGGATCGCGGGAACTACAAGCTCAAGATATGGGAGGTTCAGCTGCGTGATGTTGACGGGACAGAGCCGCGCGAGCAGAAGGTTTGGGTGAGGAGGAAGCCCAGGATTGGATGAGAAAGGGGGTGCATACCTTAGGTAAGGGCAGATACGGATATTTCCACCGATATGGTTGATGGATGGACTAGAACTGATGAGGGCAGCAGTGTCTACCCAAATACTACATCCCACGAGGGCACTGCCCAACGGCACAGAATCGAATACCGAAGCCGGGAGCAGGAGGCTCGGTACTACATGTACCGAAGGGACGGTTTTCTTGTGAACATGGTGTACGGACTGCAGAAGGTACCTATCAGAATCTCATTTGCTTACCTTGCGGTATATGCGGACAAGCAGTGGGGGACACTTTACATAGTAGATGACTAACCGGTATATAAACGGCATCTACATGCTAATTTTATCCTGTCTTCCCCAGGTTGCTCTTGTGCTCCCGTCGTCATGTGAGCCAAGCCTTCGAACCATGGATGCCAAACCCGCCCGCAGATCTCGGGAAAGTCTGTCGCGGGCTCGGGGGCGGGAAGATGGGCTACAAGTTCCTTACATGCATCTTACTTGCGTCTTACTTAATGTTCGTCTAAGGTATTCCGTGAAGCAGAGTTCCGTGTCGCTCACCAATATTGGATACCGCCAGACCGCAAAACCCCAACCTTGCCAATGTCCGTGCCGTCTCGACGGTCGCCATCGGTGGTAACGTAACCCGGCGTTGCACCCGCCCGTGTCACCTTCCCCGAAGAGTTCGTTCTTCACAGTTGATGGTGGCAGCACTCAAGCCACAGCGCGGCCGGGGAAGCTACATTCGTTCCAGGCAACGGAAGTCTGATGGAAAAGATACTTTCAAGACGCTTTTTATTTGGACAAACTCATGCGCGTGTGATATTTAACCAAGTTAATAGGCACTCTACCTTTCTCAGCCCCTGTCGGGGCTATTTCTGCCGCCAGCCCTGCCATATACGACAGGATATGAAGACATGAAGCCCGACACCCCAGCATGTCATGCCCAAGCGTATGGTAGCTGGGCAAGGTATGTCAATTGGCTTTGGACACCATGCATAGGCTCTTGACGTCTGTTCTCGTGGTTGTCTTGGCGGGCAGGGAGGCAGCAGGAAAGAACTTCCCTTTCGAATCTGTCCAGCTCTCGCAGGCTGATGCCAGGAGTTTCCCTGCTATACACTTTGGCAACAGACACGAGCCGCCACCACACAATAGCGCCATTCCTCGATGCCGGGCTTGGCCAGGCAGCAACGACTGGCCCAGTGACGATGAATGGAAGAGACTCAATGTCTCTATTGATGGGGCACTTCTGAGGCCTATGCCGGCAGCAGCGGCGTGCTATCAGGGTGACTTATACAACGAGACGACCTGCCAGTGGCTTCTCAGCCAATCAGGAAGAACACATTTCTGGTTGGACGAGCCCCTGACAACGCTCACTCAGTGGCCTCAGGGGAGCACATGCACATTGAATCTGAATCCTCAGGGGACCTGCACGCGAGGGGGTTTCCCTGAGTACGTGGTCAATGCCACCAGAGTGAAGCAAATCCAGGCTGCGGTGAATTTTGCACGGAACAAGAATATCCGTCTTGTAATCAAGTAGGTCCCTTCCTTCGACTCGAACATATATCACCTCGACCCTGACGCAATAACAGGAATACTGGGCACGACTTTGGGGGCAGATCTATGGGAGCTGGGTCACTAAGCATCTGGACGCACAACCTCAAGAGTTTCGAGTTCATCCCTCGGTACACTGTAGGGAGCTACTCTGGGATGGCCGTCCACGTCGGAGCTGGCGTGGAGAGCTGGGAGTTGTTCAACCACATGGCGAGGAACAACTGTAGCGTTGTAGCCCCAGGTGGATCAACCGTTGGCGTCGGAGGGGGATGGCTTGCCGTTGCCGGGCATGGAGTGCTGACCTCTAAGTACGGCCTGGGTGCCGACCAAGCCCTGGCGATCAATGTCGTTACCGCCGACGGCAAATTCCTGACGGTAGACCCCAATAACCAACAAGAACTCTGGTGGGCACTCAGGGGCGGCGGGCCGAGTAAGTACCTACTCACCCATGCAACCCCTGAACAACTTGATGGTACTAGCAAGCAGAGACACTAATTCTTCAAAGGCACCTTTGGTGTTGTCACCTCCGTCATCTTCAAAGCCTACCCCCCCATCACCATGACTAGCGTACCCTTGAGCTTCGATGTCAACCGCAGACCCCCAAGCAGCACCGTCCCGTCACCCGCCACCAGCACCCTCCCGGGCACCGTCCCGCCAACCAATGGCCTCGCCACGGCCAGCGACACGGCCACGTTCTGGCGCGGTGTATCCCTCACCTACCGCTACTGCAACAAGGTCATCGCCGCAGGCGGCATGTGCTACAGCTACATCTACTCGCTGGGCAACGACTCCTTCTCCTTCACCCACAGCCACTCGATCCCCAACATCACCGCCTCTGCTGCAACAGCCTTGATGAAGCCGCTCTTCACCTCCCTGCAAGAGGATCTCAACATCCCAGTCACCCTCCCCAACCTCACCGACCGCTCCGCAAGCCTGTACGCGGGCAACGGCCGCCGCACGGGCTCCGCCAACCCAGTCAACACACGCTACCGCTCACGCCTGTTCCCATCCCACTTATGGGACGACGATACGGCGTGGAACGCTACATTCGCCGCCATCCGCGCCGGGGTAGAGGAAGGGGGGTACACGTTCCACGGCATCGCCTACTCGCCCACGGAGGCAATCGCGGGCTGGCCAGGCGCCGACAGCGCCGTGAACCCTGCGTGGCGGGCGACAGCGCTGCACGGCAGCCTGATGGACGTGCAGCCGGAGGGCATTTCGGCGGCCGAGGCGCGGGCAAGGGACGCGAGGGTGCATGCCTATGTGCAGCGCTGGAAGGATCTGACGCCGGGGGCCGGCGCGTACATGAACGAGGGCGACCCGGCTGAGATTGGGTGGAAGTGGAGTTTCTACGGGAAGCACTATGCAAGGCTGCTAGAGATCAAGAGGAAGTGGGATCCCTGGGCCGTGTTTTGGGCGCAGACGACGGTTGGGAGCGAGGCGTGGGAGGTCGTTAGCCTGGATGATTACCCGGCCGGGCAGAACGGTCGTTTGTGTAGGCCCAGGGGTAGGCGAGCGGAATGAGAGGATAGGAAGGCCTACGGTGGTAGGGAGCAGTTCGTCAGGGATGAACGGTTAAGCCCTCGTTAGGAGCTCGTCGTTGGACTAGTACCCAAGTCCCTTGTCTTGTGCCTGGCTTAACCACTGAATTCCACAGATGCAATGGTCAGGTAAGTAGGCAAGAACACCACCTCTATATTGTTCTGCCAGCTATCATAAATGCATCCCATATTCCCCGCTTAGACCATCAATGAGATAAAAACCAGTTGACAAACTCCCAGCGCCCAACATGCATGAGATTGTTTTGCGTTTCATATCCCAGTAATCTCTTTTGTATCCTGACTGAGAAGGTCCGACGGGGTTCGGCAATGAGGAAGGCTCGGACGCTCGAGAGGAAGAATCACACCGGCGAGGCACCGTATTATCGCGTCAACAGCATGATTATGTCCCATTAACTCATCTCGCCCTGATCATCTCCTCCCTTGCATGTACAAGTCAGAAAGTCCTCAGAGCCTAGCTTAAATCAGGCGACAAAAACCCGGCCAATGAGCCGTCTTCGTGTGTAAGCGGCTCCATGGTCGGGTTTCCTCCGGGGCTCCCACCCATCGGCGGAGAACCCATCTGTTGCATTCCCCCAGGGGCCGGCGCGTCTCCAGCAGCACCGGGGAACCCGGTATCCATCGTCGGCCTGGCTAACACAGGGGATGGGTCAAAACCTCGCTGTTGGGGATGATGAAAGCCCAATCCAATCGGCTGCTGCTGCGGAGGCGGTGGCGGCTGGTGATGCCCGGCGACGCCGTACGGCGGGTAAGTGCCCATCATGCGCGTCGTCGGTTGCGGGTGCATGCCCTGCATCGGCCCGGCCATATGCATCCCCGCAAACTGGGGCGGTAGCGGCTGGCGCACGCCAAACACGTTTTGCACCTGGGGCATCGCGCCCGGGTGCATGGGCATCATGCGAGGCGGGAAGGCGTTTATAGGTGGTGATGCCGAAGGTATCCCCATTGGAGGCGCGATAAGGTCCTCGATGATGGGGCCTTGGAAGGTTGCTGTCCACACGGGGTTGGGCGAAAACTGGTTGGGGATCGGGGACTGGCCCATTCCCTGTTGAGGGCTTATGCTGCCATAGTTTGGAGGTGCCATGGCGAGCGGCTGCGTGGGCATCATGCCCGGCATTGACTGTGGTGGCGCCGTCGTAGGGATGCCGCCATAGGACTGAGGCGGATAGGGACTAACAGAGTAACCCTGGGGAAGGTACCTTGAGCGGTTCATGACTTGGCATTAATCGGATATTAATTAAAGGTCGTGATGTTTCAATACGATGTGATGCCGGCTCGTATCCTCATAGGTTTGTCGGATCTACCGACTATAGTGATGATCAAAGGGGAATGAATGTGAGTGGAAGATCGGCAAGTGGCAGGAGTCTGGGGTACGTATAGAACCTTATATTCTTGTCCGATCGACGGCGTCGCGGTTGACGTAGGCGCGTTCGGGACCGCGGTTCCTGACGTAGGCACCGCACCGCCCCGACGCGGCCGGGCATCAATGGCAGCCATTATTTGTTTTGATCGTGGCGCAATATTCAGGTCTGAGATGGTCGAGCCTCAGGGCTTTGGTAGCCTGCTGAAGGACCTTCGCAGTGCTCCTTGCCCTACAGCGTCCTTGTCAGAGGCTGATAGAAGTTGGCCAAGCACATTGTTGGGGGCCGCTTTGGTTTGAAACATGTTCCTATGCCCGTTTCAGAGTCTGGCCCACGTTGAGAGAACCCTAATCCAGCGCCCGGAGAATAGGCCGGCGTTGACCCCAGGCCGTGCCACATCGCATGCGGCACGGGTGATCACCCGGTTCCGCTCGTTCGGCTTCGAGAAACAAGGTCATACGGACGCTTGAGAACCCCGCGTGGACATATCCTGAAGTCTTGAGCGAGACAGAATGGTTTGGAATGATTGCGGCCTGTATTGGGGAGATGCGCTTGAAACCCGGATTGTTTTGCATCGTAGAGTTGACACCGCTCTGTGATGCTACACTGTCAGTACTGTTTCTGTCATTGATGATATAATACTTGTCGCCTGAGCCGCGAAAGCGCACCTGTGCCGGCCAGGTCAATTATCGCAACCTACTCGACCTACACGGATTTAGTACTACCTTATTGCATCCTTCCAAGACTCATTTCGTTGCTTCGCATACAACTCTCCAACGCTCCGTCACAGTCTACCATCTCAATGTGGCTCCGAAGAACAATTCTCCGCTTCTCGATCAGAGGCCGGGCTGGGAGGACAAAATTTCGAGAGATCAAATGGCTTGACGATGGGGAAGTCCGGCCCGTCACTCGTGGCAAGTCCAAACAACTTCTGGGTGTTCAAGAGACAACGCCGACAGTCGCTTGGTGGAAAGCCTCAGGCTCGGCGCCGTACCGAATCAGGTCCAACATGTCCTACTCGTCCCAAGCACCGCTCGCCTACCACGATAGCTTGCGGTGATGCAGCCAGATTGGAGTATCAGTGTATCGCGATGTTACTGGGAAAATTTGGGGAGGTGTTTAGGCGTTCTGGAACACATTTGGGGGCCGAACTGCAAATGGAAGCTGCAATGTAACACCAGGCACGTGCTGGCATTTGCTGGGTTTAGGATTAGCGTCTAGGCTTCAATTTTCTCGCTGTTAATTCCCTTCAAAGTTGGCCAGTTACCTCACTCCTGCCTTGTCACCCTCTGAAACACACCAGACTGCGCCGTAAACGAACCTTCTCTTTGCCAAAATCGGGCCGTAAAATATCGAGATTCGGCCCGCGGTCACTATATCGCAGCCGGTCCGGTCTCCGTAGTCTTCAAACCTGGGGCAAATTCTCGAGAGCCGTGAGGTACTGAGAGAGGGCTGTTGTACCACCCGGCGCGCCCAGCGCGATGCCGCTGCCGCTACCGGTGCTGCGGGTGGTGGTGCGGTGGCTAGTGGTGCAGGGGCCGACACAGAGATGCAGGATGGGGACGGTGCGGGCTCCACGGACACATTGTCCATGTGCGTTGGCGAATGGGCTGAAGAGGAGAGTTCACAGGGGAGGCGATTCGAACGGGCGACCTCTTGCTTCCCGCCTGTAGCTTTACCACTTTACCACTCTACCGGGGGGGATGGAAGTCTGAAGGTGGAAGTGGCCTATATGGGAGGATATTTCCTGGGCCGGGAACCGGAACTGGAGGAACGTTCTACTTAACAAGACGTTAGAACAGCGATGTAGTGCGTTTGAGTTATTCTATAACAACACGGGTAAGTCTTATCTGTGAGTGAGTACCTAGCTATCGTGGCATCGAGCTCACCAGGGCTGGCGCATTGGAAAGCAAAAATGCGGAGATCATACTAGTAGATGTGCCATTTCACATCAGCAGCCATTGGTGAGTAAGTGAAGTGGCATAAGAAAGGTCTATTGCTGAACACAAGAGTAATACAGTGCCGAACAAGAGAGATCCGATGTTGACCGCCAGTGGTAACCCCCTTGAAGTTTGAACTCCCGCAACGCCCCATATCGATGACTTGGTCCCGTTCTAGTACAATTGACTGCGGCCATGTGTATCACCCGGACTGTAAATGCAAGGCAGTAATGCTTCAACTCCCTCCCTTCCAACTCCCTTTGCCGACCTGATCCCAAACGCCAAATTCCACCAAAGCCGTTACGCCATGGAACCTCGGAAACAACAGTCTCGACCCGAAACGCCAGTCCAACAAAGCGAACCAAACCCCGGGACACCACGGTGGTGCACTATGCCGGCCCTCCCCTCAAATGGCCGTAAACCGGACCATCTTCTCCTCAATCTGAAGCTGTACATGCCTCGGCAGGCTCGACAACGGCGTCCAATTCGCAATGTAGTGCGGTCCGCGGTTCATGTAGACCCTCGCCCTATCGATATTCCGCGACGAGTTAGGCGGGTAATACGGCGTGCGCCGCGCCGCGCGCACCACATACGGCTGCTGCACGCCGCTCGCAGTCCCGACCGTGCCCGCCATCTCAATGTCATCGTTGTCGGCAAGCGTCAGCGACGCCAGCGAATCCGCCGACGAGCACGACGAAGTGCTCCGCGACCGCGCACGGCGGGGTAAGCGGAACGAGGGCGTCCGCTGCGAAGCGGTTGGCCATCGCGGGATGCTGGTTGTAGGCGGGCTGCTGCTTGGACTGCTCGTGCTGCTGCTGCTGATGCTGCTGCGGCGGGAGGTGGGAGGGCTGCTGCTAAGTCCGGGGTTGGGCATCGGACTGGAGAAGCTGTTAAGAGAGGAGTAGCTGAGGTTGTGGGTTGGCCGTTGCGGTGTGCTGGGCGGTGATGGTAGGTCGAAATAATCGAGGAGCGAGCCGTCTGATGGGACCAGGGCCAAGGAGTCCGGGATCTTGGACGCGGCATCCTTGCGTCTCGGTGTGTACTGGATGATGTCCTCCATGGCATCATCCGGGTCGTTGATGGCGACAGTAGATTTTGAGTGCTGACCGAGTCCCTCAGGCTCGAAGTGCCTGCTTGTAAAGGATGGCATTTTGTCAAGGTCGAGGCTTCTTGCCCGGTCAACGTTCTACAGGACGTGAAAGTGTCCGCAATCGGGAAGACCAAGTTCGCCGGTGCAACAGTGCAAATTGAAAATCGACGGGATACCAGACTTGCTAGAGCCGTGGTCGAAAAAGAGACGCTGAATGTTGCCTGGGAAACAACTTGAATGACCGCGAGGCCTTGAGGTCATCTTGTACGGCGACCTGACCAGCGCCGGTCTGTTTTTAATGTGCTCCGGTACGACCCCCGGTCACGGGCCTCGGTCCGGGCCGGCCTCTATTGGCCGGCATCAACCTTACCCAAATGGTGGTTGTGGCGCTAAATTTAGGGGTCACCCGCCAGTCTGGGTCAGCATTCGCAGGCCATGCGCCGGGGCCTCTGGTCGAATCAGCTGGCGCTAAATTGCCAACAACGCCTTCCTCAAACGTTTCTCATCCTGTCGCGCCTCTGTATCTAGCGGCGTAACCGCCGCATGATGTTGATAATCCCAGATGGGACAGCTGAAACGGAAATTTGCCAGTTTCGCAACCATTGTTGGCCTGGTTGTAGGGCAACAGGTCGGTGATTGAAGCCGTGTTTCTCTAATGATCCAGTTAGACCATGCAGATTACAGGGAAACGGCGCATGATCAGAGGCCGCTGAAGGTTTTCGGTTGCTAACTGACAATAGATTATAAGTGCTACTGCGTTGACCAGGGTACCATTGGCCGTACAACATCGCGAGTTTCCACTCATTAACGAGCACCGCAACCTTGTAATGGGCTTAAGTCTGTAGGGGTGAGGCCCCTGAAAGCATCCCAGGCGAGCCGTGACTGGGCTGTAAGAATGAGATGATCTCAAGGTCAGACTCGAGGCGTGTCTCATTGTCAGCCGCGAACAAAAACGGGTTAAGGACTCTGTATACATAGTTAGGCCCGAATAGTTGCTACTTGAGCCCCACAAACTGGGGTCTTCACTGGCATCTTACCAGTCAATGTCGCAGTGTAATGGGGAGAACTCTGGGTTTGTGGTTATGGATCATGGTCCAATCATGCCGATATTGACGAGGCTCCCGAATGTCGCCCTCCATTGTCGACTGGACTGGTCTCCGTGCATTCCTCCCCTTGAAACCCCAACCAGACTGATCCGGCGGTATCCTCGCCACATACTCCACGGGACACATACACAAGGCCACGCCCTTAACCGATGTTTGTGCCATATGGAATGCGTACTATTCAGGTTTCCACACCTGCTCTATTCGGATCCAGGGGATTGTAATAGTTTGTATCCCGACCTTCGATACAACCGACGGCACCTCCGTCTCAAGCCTTGATCCCAGCAACCGGACAGACCGCGCCTTCCTTAGCATGGCTCACGTCCGGGTGCGCAACCAGCTTTCCCTTGTGGTGTCCGACCTTTGCTTTTGTCACCGGGCAGGCTGCCTCGTCCTCTTTGCCTTCGGTGCTAGGGTGGTCGGGGGGAAGCACAGTTGTAGCAGTCCCGACGACCGGGCAGACTGAATCGTCCATCTCTTTGCTCTTGGGATCGTTGACCACTTTGCCGGTCAGGATCGGGCACGCTGAGGCATCGCCAGCCGGGTGGTCGGGCGGGATGGGTACGTTCGGGTGTTTGTGTAGGTTGTGATGATGGTCCGTAGTGGCGCCGACGACAGGGCACACGAGCCCGGGTTGGGAAAGGTCGATGTCTGGATGCGACGGGGGCAGGGTCGAGTTGGTCGTGCCAACCACGGGACAGTTCATCAGGATGTTCTCCATTTCGATTCTCCTCTCGCTTGCCGATGGCTGTATTGGTTGATGTGACGGGTCCTGTTACTGTAAGATTTTGAGATTGCTGGGCGCGTCGGCGCGAATCTGCAATGAGCAGCTTGCTGTAGAGATGAGCTGACACGACAACAAGACAGGGAGAGATGGACGGGGCCAGAGTTATTTGCTAATAATATCACCCGTGCGATACGCCTAGTGTGGTCGTCCTTTGTTGGACCCTCCTAGGGGCCGCACCATTGGAAGGCTCTTTCTCCAGCAATTCGATTTCGAGGTAGATGTGGGGTATAAATGACGTCGTCGGCAAGAACCAGCAAAAGCCAATAAGCAAGCCTGGCGGCGGTCTCACTGGCCTGGAGGGGCACTGTGGGGCCCTCACAGAGCGAATCATTTTTATTCTTTGGTCAAAACATGGGTCAGAGCTTGTGCTCCGCAGCTCCACAACCAACAAATTGCTGTCCTCAACTGCTCATTATCGGTGCTGCGCGTTTCTCTCGGTTCAACGACGGCATGAGCCGGATGGGCAAGAAGCGACTGTCTGCTGAGGTCGCCGATGGAGCGGTCTGGTCACGCAGAAGTTGCAGAAACCAGCGAGAACCATGGTTGAGTTCATCTGCCGGCGGCTGCCCGCCTCGTCTCCCGATGACGGGAAGCAAGTGGCAGGTTTGCTCCAGCTGTGAGCAGCAAGAGGCAATGAATGTACTGTACTTTCAAGGTCCCATCACGCGTCCCCATTCAGCTGCAGCAGTAATTGGCCAATTCCAATGGATCTTGCCTGCTTTCAGATTGGATCGAATCAGAGAGCTTCAAGCTCTTCCCGCAGCTGGATGACTCCCCTCTCCACGTCTGGTACTGCAGGCAGCACAGGTAGTACGCCCGACAATGTATGACGTCGCACTTACATGAGAGCTTGCGCAACAGCACAGGTGACCAAAAATATGAGGCGAATTCCGTCAATGGTATGCCCTTTTATAAGAAAATCAGTCCTCTGCTTGAATTCCTGCATTCTCTCTCGTTTGTTTAAGTCACATCTCCTCGAAAACTGGAAGAGACTTAGAACACGATGATCCACCCTGACCAAGTCGCCGAGATGCTGTATTCGAGGACAGCCACGTCGACCCACACTCACACTCCGGGGCCGATCCCCACGGTGATCCGTAAGCTTTACACCCCTCTCAGCCCTTACTCAGTATGCTAACATGACGCCTCAGCAAGCCCGACCCACTACCAAACGGCCGGCGAGACAGGACACCGCACATTATGGGTGCTCTTTGCCGGCATGTCGCTGTTCTCAGCCGCCTTCGCCCTGCTCTCGTGGCGTGTGCCCGTGTCTCGGCGCATCTACCACGTCACGAGCACGCTGGTGCCCATCATCTCGGCGCTCGCCTACTTCGCAATGGCCTCGGGCCAGGCGTCGGCCTTCAACTGCGAGACGGTGCGCGACAGCCACAAGCACGTGCCCGACACGTTCCACGACGTCTGCCGTCAGGTCTACTGGGCGCGCTACGTTAACTGGGCGCTGACCACACCGCTGGTCCTGCTGAATTTGTGCCTGCTGGCCGGCATCGACGGCGCCCACACCTTGATGGCCTTGCTCGCCAACCTCATCATGATTTTGAGCGGCCTCTTTGCTGCCTTTGGCGCCGAACGGACGGCCCAGAAGTGGGGTTGGTTCACCATTGCCTGTCTGTCGTACCTCTTCGTCATCTGGCATGTCGGCCTGCACGGTACCAGGATGGTCAAGGCCAAGGGCGCGAGGGTCTCTAGGCTCTTTGCAACGCTCGCGAGCTACACGCTTATTCTTTGGACGATCTATCCAATGTGAGTTGATCCTTGATAACACGCCTAATGTTGGAATAGTAATTAACGTCTCCCTTCTTCGAAGTGTCTGGGCCATTACCACCCTTGCCCGCAGAACCTCTGTCGACACCGAGATCCTCATCTACGCGGTGTTAGATGTGCTTTCCCAACCCGTTCTGCTGCTCTGGCTGCTTGTCAGCCATCGGGCCATTGCAGAGACCAATATCGAGCTGCCCGGATACTGGTCGCAAGGCCTTTCTTCCGAGGGAAGAATTCGCATTGGTGACGATGAGTAACTGTTGCCGGGGCGGCTGATATGTTGGGAACGGGACCGGATGGCCATGGATGAACAGAGCTTGGTAGCTTGCGGGCCACGGAAGAGCCACGGGGTAAGCAGTACGCAGGTGAATTAGGTCAACAATCAACAAAAGGGGGGCATGTGGGTCGATGAAGAGTGGTTTAAGATGGGAATCACTGCCCGATGTGAAGTGCTATCCTATCATGCATCATCATTGGTTATTGCCTAGGGAATGGACAAGGGCACTGGAGATAATTGAGATATGGACCAAGAACTTTTTCATATTAATCACACTAAGCACCTATTTATCAAGAACATGGATTGCTGCATAATATCCTGCTGGGTCCTAAGCCTCCTTCACTCCGTCAACAAACACGTCAACCTTCTCGTTATAAAAGCAAAGTCGATTCTGGATCGGGGCCGATTCGGTGGTAGGGTATTTGTAGTACCAAATCGCATCATCAATGACCTTCTCGCCGACCTTGAGATGGTAGTACCTCGCTTTTCCCTTGTATGGGCAGATGGTGACGGACTTGCTATCTGACAGCATGCTCCAGTCGAGAATCGATGTGGGGGAGAGATAGTACCGTGGTCTCAGCCCAGTTTCGTGCAGAAACACGCTGTTGGTAGACCGTGCTACCACGACACCGTCGACTTCAATCCGTACCTCTCGCGAACTCGGCAGGCAGTCGATCCGCTTGTAGGGGTCTTTTGGGTGTGTGCCGAGAAGCGGTTCGTCCTCAGCATACCATGCATCTGTGGACCTGGTCAGTCTTCTCATGTACATACCGGCTGGGGTAGTAGGGCCAGGCAACAAAAGATGCCGCTCACCCATGTCCTCCCAGCGGATCAATGCAAGCCCATTCAGCGGGCCTTGCTTAAACCCTGCAATAGGGATCTCGTAGCCTTCTACGATGAGCATTCCAAGCCAGAAGCCCTTCCCCTCTACAGCGCCCCATTCAAGCTCGCCCGGACCTGCTTCAATGGCCGCGATGTTAATCCAGAAAAGAGGGACTGGTATATCTCACTGTCAGCATACGGCTTGATGCTAGGGGAACGTGAACGTACAGTAGGGATGCTCCCAGACATACTCTGCTTGCAGCGTATCGAATACCCATACTCCCTTGAAGAGAGCCCTGACCCGGCGGTTTGCGGGCTCTTTTTTGACAGGCCCATCGGCCGCCAGCTTGGCCATGCACTCGGGGAGGCTGAGGATGCAGGATCGTAACCAAGATCAGCAAGATGATGTTGAAACTTTAGCAATGGATATACATGGAATATGAGTGGGGGGTTCCCTTACCTCATCCTCATTGAAGATGGCATGGCTGGTATAGAGACAGATAGATCCTACATCTGAGAATGAAATGCCTCCGAGTCTTACCCACAAGCAACGGCAGAAGTCAACAACAGTTTGAGCTTCAGTGAATGCCAGCAAACCGGAAGGACTACTAAGCTTGGGATCTTCACCCCGCATCTACACGACTGAAAGTCTAAAACCCCGCTTGGCGTCATGGGGATGAAAGGGTTTGGATGACAAATACGCATCTGCCCCAATTGGTGGGAAGCTAGCTGACGGCTAATGCTAAGCATGTAAGAGGACGGGAGTCTACCGTCTAACGTGAGGTACAATACTCGAAGACTTCGAGCACGTAGCAACAAGCCAGGCCCGGTACATAACTGATCAACTTAAGCTAAGAGACCTGTGCCTTTGAAATTCAAGTTCTATGATAGGTCAGAACTCTCCCGCTAACCATGGAAGAAAACCCATCCGAGTCACAGACATCACCACAATATTAGTACCGTAGTACGATGCTTGCTTGAGCAGTGATTCCTCAGCTCAAAAGTAAGTCCTGACAAACACTGATGCAGGCTGTCATGGCATTGAACCATCCTGCTAAGCAACATGATGCCCGTATGGCTGGGATTCCATCTCGCAACCTCCTATGCGCTGGCGGTTACATTCGTAGTCTGGATAGCTCTCAAAAAAGCGTCGTAGGCCGGTTTCTTGTTATAGTTATTATCCCACAACAGTGCAGCCCCTTCCCCTGAGAAGGTCTGCGGCACCCAGGAGTACCTGTCCGAGACACCCTGTGAAAAACATTTGACGGTTAGTATTCAGATTCCCCAAGATAGCCACGGAAAAACGCACCCAGATTGTCATTCCGACACATCGCTCCACAGCCAAGCACGAGGCGGCGACGCGGGCGTACGCATCGGCCGCAGCCTGCAGTTTGGCCGCGGTAGCCGGCGTATTCATCCTGATATCGATCTCTGTATAAGCCACATCAAGGCCAAGGTTGGTAAAGGCGCGGAGACTGCTCTCGAGCACGGCTTGGGACGGGGTCGGGGTCGACTGCGTGTTTGTCCTCTCGCTGACCAGATGGCCCTGGAAGCCCACGCCGTCAATCTTGACGCCCCAGGACTGAACAAGCTTTGCAATGCGGACGGCACCCTGCGTCTTGGGATGGTCGGCGCCGTACTCGAGGTTGTAATCGTTGTAGTACAGCTTTGAGGCCGGGTCGGCGGCCGCCGCGATGCGGAAGGCAATGGGGATGTATGCCTCGCCGATAACGCGCAGGAAGACGTTGTCGCGGTATGTGCCGTCCTCGTTGAGCGCCTCGTTGACCACGTCCCAGTGCGTGCACTTGCCCCTGTACCGACCCATGACGGTGTTGATGTGGTTCGTCATGACGCTGATCAGGGTCGCGTTGTTGAAGTTGCTGTTGGACACCCAGCCGGGGAGCTGGCTGTACCAGACCAAGGTGTGGCAGCGGACCTGTTTGCCGTTCTGAGTGGCAAAGTTCATGTGTTGATCGGCGGCTCCGAAGGAAAAGGAGCCACGGTTCGGCTCGGTGGCGTCCCATTTCATGGCGTTCTCTGGCGTGATGGACCCGAACTCGTTCCTGTTCCTGATAATGTTCTGCTCCGAGTTGTCATTTCGGACGGTTAACGAAGTGCCAATGTATTGGCGGCCCCTGGCAACCATGGCGGCGTGCAATCCAGTGGCTTGGCGGCTCTCGAGGCTGAGTGTTTACACCATCAGCAGTTGATCGGTTGTGAAGGAGTTTACTGCACCAACTAACATCGCCGGGTTCGCCACTGCCAGCCCACTCGAGGCGAGCACCGTCGCTGCGAAGGTAATGGGTCGCATCTTGGTTCAGCAAGCAATGGGCAAGATTTAGACACGCGCTGAGCGAGAACATGTGGAGGACTGAAGTCGAGATACTAGGTACGTAGCCTGTCATATACTCCAAAACTTTGGGACGATGGGGGTGGCGATCTCAAGCAATGTAATAAAGGCATGCTTAATAGCCGGCTTGGGTCGCAAGGAGGCCTATGGGAGCGTCCGCCTGGTCCTCAAACATTATTTGCGCGCATGTTTGCTGCTTAAATGGGAGAGTAATAGATCATCTTCTTGGGGACCAATGTATAGTAGAAACATCGGAACACACGCCATGGATCCGGTACTGGGTAGGACCATAGTCCCGTTGGATATTAATATGCTGCTTCTCCAACCCGTCGGAGCTGGGTAAATGCCCTGGATAAATCCACGACAAAGTGACGCCAGGAGGTTGGAGAAATGGAGAGACTCTAGTTGTCCGCTTCCGCTTGATTGCCTGAGCCCGTAATCTGCGTGTGTAGTAGCACGTTAGGTACCTTTGGTAGCAGAGAACCCCGTCAATGATTGGGGGCGTTTGTGGGGGGTTCAGCACGGATGGGACTGGAGAGTCGGCTGGGTTAGGTACTTGTTGTAACTGTTTAAAAAGCGGCAGGGATAATAAGCCCTTCCCTTATAGCCTGGTCTATAAGATCAGTCCAAAGATGTCACAGCTGGAATCGGACTGACCAAGGCTCGAATACAATACCGTACCCCCAAGCAAGCCTGAGATTCAATTGATGTCAATCACCTCGCAAGGCCGTCGAAGTTGATTCTAGGAGCTGTAGGAATCGTTGAATCAACCAGTCCAAGACCAAATCTCGTCCCAGAATGCTTGCTCCATGGCCTTCAGGACACAACCCAGAAGGTCGAAGCATGGAGTCGTCATGCATGTGCTCTCACCGGATTCAGCACCGAGAATGGACTTCAAAACTAGGTAGGTATGCATTTTGCTTGTCGTCTTTCGAGCTCCTGGTTGAATCAGGCAGTGACGTAGTGCGATTAGCTCTCAGCCGGACGAGACTGAAAGAAGACGTTGTCAGCGGTTGCTAAGCTGGTGTTCCGGCAATCCTCTGTCCACATCCCCAGCAGCACGAGGTAGCGACTCGAAGTTTTTCGTATTAGCCCTTGGAAGGGGAGGCCCAAATTGCCATCCCAGAGTACGCGACCCATCTTGCATGATCTGTCGGCCTCAACAGTGTTGCATACTGCTCAAGGAGGTTGTGGCCCGGGGACAGAAGCCACGTATCTGCCTCACCTGGCATTCAAGTTGGTTTCAGGCCAATATTAAATCGCAATGTCCCAAAAGCAAGGAAGCCATGAGAATTCTCGACTTTGAACCGGATCGCGTTTTCTCGACCGGGGCGGAGTCGTAACACCTGGTCTGTCGTCAAATCGAGACGGCGCGAATCATATGCAACTGTCGGTAATCTCTGTATCTTTCCAGACAGCAGATATTCGGAACTCCCAGTCGGCCGCACATGGGCAATTTTCCGTCTAGCGCTGTTCTTGTTGGGTTTCCAACTTCGTACGGAACCGGAGTAGGGAGTTGGCTGCTTCGTGCTGAGTTCGTGGTGGTGGTCCGTGCGACACGAAACCCTCAGCGAGTCAGCGGCACAGCCAAATGTCAGAAGCATGATGGCCCCTGTGTACTTCGTAATAAAAGTCGAATTGAACAGGTACTGTGTCCGTACTCGAGATCGTTTCTTAGAGGATACCTAGAAAAGGCTCACTGTCGAGTGTTGACCTGCGCGGGCGAGTGTATCGGCTATCCGCATCCCATAGCTCACGGCAAATATACCTATGTACTGTACCTACCAGGTAGGAAGTCCCTTTGCTAAATCTCCATGATTCGTTGCGAGCCTGAGAAGTCGATAACTAAGGTATGGACTCATGTTGAAGACAGATGCAGCCACCCTCCATGCAGATATGTGGCTCAAACGAAGCCATATTTCCGCTGTTTCCGTATCACAATCTTCGTTCGATAACAGTCGCAAGGCTGTCGTCATGCTTGTCCCTGAGAAACCAAACTCCGAAATGGGAGAGGTACGACAGGCATGTATTCGTAATTTGTACGGAGGATGCCGCTTGAGCCTTCGACAAAAGTGCTTGGGGTGGAGTATGGACCCGATGAATGTTGGGTACGCTAACCTCATTCGATAGCGGGGAATTTCCGCCCATCAGCCAGGACCAGATTTGCAGTTTTGAATTGGACGATGCTCATTGAAGACTTTGACCGGTGTGCAGGGGTCCGGTATTACCAACCGCGGATTGCGCACCTCCTCACCAGGGAAAAGTCCCATCACGGCGCTTTCCACTGACTTTTCTTCACCTTCTCAATATCTTTTGATCTTTTTTGCTACGTGTGTTCCGATATGTTTTGGCTAAACAAACACACATACAGTCGGTAATATTCCCAGAATATACGGCACCTAACAAGCTCGAGCGACGAGGTCCCCGCCGGTAGTTCAGCTAGCTAACGACTCGGCGCCGATGTTTTAAAGCGGGGAATCCCGGACCGACACCATGACCGGAGGGGATTCCCCGGCCCCGGACCCGGATGTTGCACACTATGGGCAACTCATCATAGCTGTCGCGGTAGTCACCATGGCCGTGTCGGGCCTGTTCGTGGGCATGCGACTCTGGTCAAGGGTGGTGATTCTCCGCTCGGTTGCAGTTGAGGATGCCTTCATTTTGCCCGCCTGGGTATGTCAGATTGCCACGATCCCACATCCCGGCCCCATATCCCCGCTAATGTGACTCTGTAGCTCTTTGCCGCCGGTAATTCGATTTCCAATCTCATCCGTGAGTCCCGCTCTTACATACTTTGACTAATTCTCTCTACGCTCGTTCTCGACGCAACTGAAGCGCGGTTTTCTGACGTCACGTGCCCGGCAGAATTACAATACGGCTTGGGACGACCATATGCTGCTTTAGACCCTGATACGTTCGCAATTTACCTTAAGGTTAGTCGGCGAGTGCTGACGTCGTCGGACTGATGCTGATTTCCGGCATAGATAGGATATGCCACAAATATCATCTACGCGCTGGCTCTGGCCTTCGTCAAAATCTCAATTCTCTGCCTCTACATCCGCGTTTTGACATATAACAATGTCCGTCGGGCGGCTAGAGTCCTCCTTGGGATTGTTATTATCACCCATCTCTGGATTATCGCCTCGCTCATTACCGTCTGCATTCCGGTGGAGGCCGTCTGGAATCGTGCGCTACGCTCGACGGCTTACTGCCATTCCTGGAATGTCTACTGGAGCCATTCCGGGATCAACATCACTACCGACTTTCTCATCTTCCTGCTGCCGCTAACAGTGCTGCCCAAAATCCGGGTCCCACAACGGCAGAAGATCTTGCTGTACTTTGTCTTCCTGCTCGCCTTCTCGTACGTTACCCGGTCTGATTTCTACAGCACTTGTTCCAGTAAAGCTGACAGATGCGTCTCTCGTTCCCGCAGTGTTTGTCTTATTTCGATTGTAAGAACCGTGCAGTTCGCACTCGGATGGACCTTTGCCCAACCACCTATAGATCCGATCTTAAACACAGTCCTCATCGCGGTTTGGACGATGCTCGAGGTCAACCTTGCTGTGGTCTGCGCCTGTATTACCACCATCAAGCCTGTGCTAGCCCGCATCTTTCCCCGGCTGCTCACCCCTGAGATATCGGAAAGCAACATGTCCGTGTCGTGGAACAGAGTTATCGAGGAAGCGCATGGTCGGCTGCGCCCTCGCGCTGCCAGCGACACAGGCACGCAAACACTCAGGGAGTCCGGTCAATCCAGTGTTCAGACGAAGAATATCAGGACAGGAGATGCCGAGGCCACAGATAAAGGTGCGCAGTCTTCCGGTGGTTCCCTGACCTCAGGAGGTGTAGAGCGGCAATTTGCTGGGCATTGAGCCAGTCCGGTTCGGGTAGTTGACGGGATCCTGTAGCTGTACTGCTAGTGATACTTGGGTATTATCGTCTTTCCTATACATAATGTTAATAGATCCTATTCATACCTTCCTCACGGTGTCATCAAGTCGTGATTATCCCTGGGCATGCCATTTTACGAAGGGAGCGAAAGAGATGCATTTTCAAGGGTTCTCCAGGTAGCATGAAGGCCCGGACTTGCGCATCTAGCTACTGATCCTATCCTAGAACAGCGAAGCGGCCAGGAGCAGTGACATGAAGCTGTGGACGAAGATGAATAACGGCAAATGGCACAAACAGATATACATCATCCCAAGACCGGTACGCCATATATATACCAACACCACTCCTTTCCTTCCCGCCCATCCGAAATGCTGCCACCCGCCTGGTTCTTGTATGCATATCATGGCGTATCCAATTTCTTCTCAGTTTTGTCGCTGTTGAAAATGCGATGGGTATCGATGTTGAACGCCGCACCCTCTCCGATCTACTTGCGTCCGCGTCGGCAGCCCATTGCAGCTTTTTACACCGACAGATCGTCACCCCAGACCTGCTTCGCAATTTCCACCTCTAGCCGCACCTTTGCCCACTGCTGCTCCTCGGTCAGGTCATTACCCTCCTTGGTTGAGCTGAAGCCGCACTGGTGGGACAAGCACAGCTGGTCCAACCCCCTCGGGCAAAACTTGGCCGCCTCGTGCAGTCGCTTGATGATGTCCTCCTTGTCGTCGAGCTCGGCCTTCTTGCTCGACATGACCCCCAGCACAACAGTCTTGTTCTCGGGTAGATGGCGCAGGGGCGAGAAGTCGCCAGACCGCGCATCGTCATACTCAAGGAAGTAGACGTCGACATCCAGCTCCTTGAACAGCACCTCGGCCACGGGCTCGTAGCCGCCCTCGGCGAACCACTGCGACCTGAAGTTGCCGCGGCAGAGGTGGATGCCAATGACCATGTCCTTTGGCCGCTTGCTGATGGCCGCGTTGATGAGAGCCGCATACTGCTTGGTGAGTTTCTGCGGGTCTTCGCCGTGGCGCTTCGCCGCCTCGGCGCGCATGCCCTCGTCGCAGAGGTAGGCCAGGTTGGTGTCGTCGAGCTGCACGAACCGGCAGCCGGCGGCGTACAGATCGGCAATCTCGGCCTGGTACACCTTGACCAGGTCCTCAAAGAAGGGTTCCAGCGTCGGATAGGCCTCCTTGGAGATGGTATCCCTCCCGCCGCGGAAGTGCACCATGGTCGGGCTGGGGATGCACACCTTTGTCGTGACGCCCTTCTTGTCCCCCCTTACCTTCTCCACGTACAGGTAGTCCTCGGCCTGGATGGCCTTTGGATGCCCGAGCTTGCCGACGACGACCAGCTTGGGCGGCGTCACTCCGTGCGACGTGACGTTGGTCGACGACAGGCTGCCGTGGCGCTCGACGCCGGCCAGGTGTTGCAAGAAATCAATATGGAACCAGGCGCGGCGGAACTCGCCGTCGGTCACAATCTGCAGGCCATTTTCTATTTGCTTCTGCACCACCGTGGCAATATGCGCGTCCTCGATCTGCCGCAGCTCTGTTGGGGAGATGGAGTTCGTGTCGAGCCTCTCACGCGCGGCAAGGACCTCCTTGGGGCGAAGAAAGGAGCCAACATGGTCAGCGCGGTAGACACCGGCGGGAAGAGGCATCTTGATTAGTATGTTTGTGATACGTCGGACGTGGTAAATCGGCTGGCAATCGGTCCGGTTGGCTTTTCTGATTGACCGGGGAACTTGAAAGTGATCGCCAGACCGTAAACAATATGGTCCCAAATCCAAGGCTTCCGGGTGAATGGAACTGCGGTGATCTCTGTCCTACCCTCCCAATGCAGGAAATCGCAAAGGGACGTTTGCAGGAGACGCGGGACCGGGTGTCTGAGTGGGTGTGTCGAATGCTACAAGCAAAGGGGGGAAAAGGGGCACTGAGCAGAGATAATAAGAAGTGATCAGAGAAGGGCACCTCGGCTTTCGCCCTCAAGGATGCTACTGATCTTCATATTGCAGGCTTTGCCTGCATCCACCTTCGAGGATTCGAGACCGGCCGTCATCGGCTGTCTGTTACTCTTTGGCCGACTTTTGCACCTGGAGCATCCACTCTGCATAGGCACAACTCCATTGCCAATGCCTGGATGACGATGCAATGTGCGGGGTAAAAGAGCCAAGCGAGGGGCAGACGGGAATGCCGAGTCGGGAAAAAGGATTTCCCTCAGGCTGGAGGCGATTTAGACGCCAGACGCGACAGTCGCAGGCGCGACACGGCAATTGCATTTTGCTGGGTGAACAAAGTATCCACTTTAATGAAGGCCGGGTGTCGTAACCTGCTTTAGCTTAGGTAATCAAACCTACAACCCTACCTACCCACCAAGCCATCCCTACCCCTAAGGTGTTTATAACACTTCTGATTGAGACGTGTACGAGGTGGCTCCCTAATCATATTTGGAACTTCTTTCAACGCATACAATGCAGATGAGGATCTGAAGTTCTGTTCGACAGTTCAGCCCTTTGGATGGCTTACCGGCCGGTACAGCGGTTCAGATGCGCTCAGACCCTTCAGATGCGCACAGAGTTACTGGTATCCACGAGACTGGAGGGCTGCGAGCCGGGGCCAGGCGGAGTGGTGCTGCTCAGATCCTGAATCTTCCCAACGAGCATATCAGTGACATCCCCGAAGAGTACTGTGTAGTTCAACGATCAGGGGTCAAGTAGAAGGGCGCAATTGAACACAGGGTGGACGACATATGGCCCGGACCTGAGCGGAGGACTTGCTAAGGGAATCGCGGGGGAGCTACATAGGGCCTAGATGATAGGAAGTAATGAAGGTAGCGGGGTGTGAGATTGCCTCGCTGAACCCCATCATAACTTCATAGTTAAGTAGTAAATGTACGTTAGGGTCTGTGGTGGATTGTCAATCTCTTCGAAAGAATCTTGTTCAAGGGCTTGTCCTTCTGCTGGAGTTGGTGACATATTCTGATGCACTCGTTGATTACGGGGCGAAGACGGCGAGTATAAGCTCAATCCTGGCATATTGTACCTAAGGCCGAGGATTAGGAATTATTTACAAAGTTGGCCAGTGCAGAAATCGATGCATGCATTTCTCTAAGCACATGATCCACCCCATAGGGAACAGAAAAGAAAAAATGCAACCCGCCGCCGTCATGGATATCCGCCCAACACTCATAGCCTCCATTCGTCATACCGTTCATCGTTGGCACATTGGATAATGCGGGGTATATAATGTACTGTACAAGAAGATCCCGAATCGCGGATGACGATGCCAAAGCGCAGGGCCAGGGAGCTGCCTGCCACTTAGACTGCAGCGTCAGTTCCCTTTTCGAGGTAGCCATCGTGACCGGCGGCGGCGCCGGCAAAGGTGGTTGTCGGCTTCCACTTGGCCGAGGTGCGCGGGGTGGTCTCCTCCATCATCTTGTCAACCTGCTCAAGCGACAGACCCTTGGTCTCGGGCACCAAGAAGTAGGTGTAGACGAAGGCGCATGTGCAGAGACCGCCCCAGACGAAGAAGACGGACGACTTCAGATTGCCGCGAGTTTCACCCACCATGTAAGGAGTGATGACGGCAATGATGGTATTCCAGAGCCAGTTGGAGGCCGTCGAAAGACCAACGCCACGAGAGCGGATCGGCAGCGGGAAGATCTCGCCGATGAGAATCCACGCGCCAGGACCCCATGTTGAGGCGAAGAAGAAGATGAAGATGGCAATGAAGGCGATCTGGGCGTTGACGGCCGAAACGTTATCGGCAAGGCTCTTCGAAGGATCAGCCGGGTTAGGGTGGGTGTGGTTGAAGCCAACCGTGACGCCGATGATGGCGACAAGGAACTGGCAAATGAGCATGCCCAAGGCACCCCAGAAGAGGATGGTGCGACGGCCGAACCTCTCGACGGTCCAGAAGGAGATTGGGGTCGAGAACACGTTGATGATGGTGAAGACCATGGAGATGAGGAACGTGTTGTCAATTGCGCCCGTCGACTGCAGGAAGGGGGTCGAGTAGTAAAAGATGAAGTTCACACCGGTCCTAGACGAAACAGTCAGCAAAGTGTCGGCGCAAATGCGATATCAACCATTGTCAACTAACCATTGCTGCATCATTTGAAGAGAAGTGCCGAGAATAGTCTTGCGAAGATTCGAGTTGGCCTTGAAGAGGGAGCCCTTGAAGCAGTTCGCCCAGCTGCCGAACCAAGTGGTCGAAGGGATGAGCTGCCGCTCGTACTCCTCGTTGGCCACGATCTCGGCGAGTTCAACCTGGATGTATTCAGAGTCGCGGGGCTGGCCACGGAGGCGGGAAAGAGCGTCGGTAGCACGCTGAAGGTTGCCTCGCTTGACAAAGTAACGGGGCGAATCGGGAAGGAAGAGCAGACCACCGCCCAGAATGAGGGCCCAGACGAACTGGATGGCGATCGGGATGCGATAGGATCCCGTGTCGGGCCTCCCCTGGGTGGCATAGACGACACAAGACGCAAGCATGAGACCGATGGTAATGCAGAACTGGTAGCCCGCGACCAGCGCGCCACGAACCTTACGGGGGCACTAACGATGAGGTTAGTCGACTTGATCTCTGAGGTTAGCTCAAGATTTGGAAACTCACAATCTCGGACATGTACAGAATGACAATAGCAGACTCGAAGCCGACACCAATACCGGCAAGGAGACGGCCGCCGACAATGGCGCCAAGAGGATCGCCCATACCGGTGAACATCTGGACGACAACACCAAGCATGTAGATGACGCAGCCGTAGATGACGGTCCATTTGCGGCCGATCATGTCGGCGACGTCACCAGCAATGAGCGCGCCGAAGAATGTACCGCAGGAGAGGATAGACACAATAAGCGATTGGTGCGACTCGGAAACTGACTTTGCATTCGCCGCGGCACCCTCGACGGCGTCGATGAAGATTCGGGAGCCCAAAACACCGTTGATATAGCCAGAGTCGTAACCAAAGAAGATACCACCAAACGAGGCGAAGGCGCAGATCAGGTACGCCTGCCAGGTAACTGGCGCCTCGATGCGCTCAACATCCTGCGTCGTCGCCAGATGGACGTGAGACGCGGCAGGAGCGCCCGTCTCCTTCTCAGTTGAAGCCGACATGGTGGGAAACAGTCTGCGGCCGGGATTGACGATGCCGATCTGTCTTGTCGATGGATGCCCTTGAGATGGGGTGAAGAGAACAGATGAAGAAAAGCGAGGGACACGGGAACGGAGAGCAAAGGAAGGTCCAGGAAGATAAATTAAGGAGGGCAAGCACCAGAGTGGATCTCAAAGAACCTGGGAAACGTGGAAAGGAAGTGGCACCTCTGGAGAACTTCCCTGTCGCATCTCAAGTTCCATTCCTTCCTGGTAACTTTGTTACTTTTCGACGTTACCGTACTGTAACAGTTGCGTGTTGGAGGGAGGCATCTGACCACTCAGAAAACGGCGTTGGGGCTCGTTAAAGGCAAGCTCGATTTGCGCCCGGCTTGGCGGGAATTTCGCCGCTGTGCCGCCGGTCTGGGTGCCTTCCCCATGGGGCCAATGCAGAAAACACCGCCAATAACGCCGAGAACCCCTGGCTACTAACCCCATATTAAGTTCGTCTCCGCGGTCTGGAGCAGTGTCAAACCAACAGAATGGTCGCACATGCCACTCGCAGCTTCCCGCGGCCGGCTAGGTGGTCATGCAGACCTACGAAGTGGAGAGCATAGGTCGACAAAACATCATAAAAATTGGCCGAGTCGGCGAAATGGTGCGTCTTTGGGCTGCCATCCCGATTCCGGCTTCTATTCGCTGACGGTCCGTTCTTTTCGCCCGCAGGAGGATGGCAGACGACAAACCGGCACACGAATAGGAACGGGAAGCGAGCTTGTCGATGTTTGGTGCTCGTACAGCCTGAGTTATGCTAGGATTTTCAGTGCGAATAGGTAGGTGTATGTACGGATACAGTACTGTACGAAGGTAGTATTGTATTTTGTCGTAGAGTACATACATTAAGGCACAGATGCAGTTGCCAAACTGAAGTGTTCCTGCAATTGTCAAAGAAGCTTGTGCTGACGTTCGCTGTATCCAATCCTATGTGAACTTTACTGTGATACTACCGATAGTCTTCTCCACCTACACTATCCGTAGTGTATCCCCTCCATGTCCTGATCTTTGGATGATTCTGCTGAAAGCTTGGCTTTTCGAAGGCTGTTCGTTTTTCTAGCGTAATGCACGACACACTTTGCAAAGCCTTCACTGCAAGGATTCGCGGCACCCGACCCAGCGCCTCCATGGGCGCCACCATTTGGCCATCTACCACTGGCATGACCCTATTCCTTCTAGAACCGCCGTCCGATCAGTTCTGGCGCTTTTTTGTTCGCCAGAGGGCCAGCAGTTAAGGCCGCCGGCCGCCGGCTGCATCTCTTTCATTTTCACAAGCTCGATGGAGGTACTGTATGTACAGTACGATAGCAATCTTTGCCAGGCGTATAGATACGCACAAGGTCTCGCCTGCTCTAATATCGGGCCTTTTTGGCGACCTACTGAGTTTTTTCTCCGCTAAGTTGGGGTCCCCGTAAAGTAAAATCCCCCCAGCGTGGAGAGTTGGCTACCCCGCTTTTCCCCCGCTTTTCCCCCTTACCCTAGCGCCGACTGCTTTCTCTTCTTTTGTTTGGTACTTTGGTTCTCTTCTTCAAATGACATATGTGGCGGTTAGGCATCGGCAGCAAATCCTTCTGAGACCAAGATATCCCGCCATAGTGGGATTTTTGGGCTTGTCTTTTGTTCGAGTGGACATCGCCGTTCCCCAACGTTCACTTCTTCTCTCCACGTCTCTATTATTGGCCTCCAACCATCCATCCCTGTTTTCAAGTAGCGCACCTACGGATACACTAGGGCGAATACTCCACCCAAGTACTCAAGTTCTGTAGCCCCTTAATTCTCTTCGGGAAACGCGATGACTGTCAGTCATTTGCTACTACGCGCGTCTTATCAATCTACTCGGGCGCGCTGGAAGCCCGGAACGGGGCAATTCAACATCAAAATTGCCTCTGTCTCTTGTTAGCCCGGGAGCCCGGGTTAGCCAACAGAGGTCGTGAAAGCCGGTTGCGGCTAAGCCAGCCGAGCCAGCGTCGCAAACCAATCATCCAACAACGGCGCCATGCTCCACCCCCGGCCGCGTGACGAATGTACATCGGCCCGAAGCCTTCTAGCGGGGTTGTGGCAGGAGAGCCTTGAATTCTTTGGCCTAACCACGCGGGTGCCCGGCCTGCCGAGGCAAGCCAGCCTGGGGCAGTGTAGCCTATCCTCACTAAACAAAGCCCCAAACTCACGTGTTGTCAAACCCTTTGTTCCACCTGATCGGGCCGGGGATTTTAGTGTCTTTAAGATCTGATCCATAGATGTCACTAGATGTTACTGGAATCTCCAGTCTCTCACAGTGACGCAATTGGAAAGGAAGTTTGGTTCTCTCCCATAAACTAACTTATTTCAGCAGCCATTCTCAACTTCGGAACTGAGAGAAGCTGGCACCAGGTAAGATGTTTGTATTTGTGTGGTTGAAGGGTGCCCGACCACAATAGGTATGTACAGGAATCGATACAGTGGCTCCTGCCTACATTCACTCTAACAGGACTTCACCATCTCATAGTTATGGACTAGTTCAGACTCTACACAAGTCTAATATAAGGCATTTATGTATACAATACATACATCTGGAGTGTATACTTCACTAAGCTGTTGCGAGTCGGTCACTCTGAAGGCTGTCGCAGTCTGACCGTCATCTCTCCCGTCACATGCACCGTCACTTTGAAGGTCCCGTTGCAGAATAACGGTATGTACATACTTCGTACTGTAGGTACAGTACCTTTGGTAGCACAATGCTCAATAAATGTCAGGTAAAGCACCCTTTTCAGGGGTGTTTCCGATCCTCACCGCACGCCACATTGCCGCATACCCCTTGTTCAGTAGTGTAAAGTTAACGTTGGACTGTGGTTCTGCGCTGACCGTTGACAAGATCAACACCTACGGATTATTCCAGGTGCGATCTGCGGATCTGGTAATCTTGCGGGCTGCCAAGAAGCCAAGAAAGCGCTGCTGCCGTTGGTGGCTGCATTGCATGTCTCAGCCAAAAGCTGACCGTAACCGCCCATTATTACACTAACAATTTATGTGGTACCCGGATGCATTGTGACACTGTCCAGGAGGTTACCACTCAGCCACGTTTATCAATGATGGCAGGTGAAGGACCGGGAAGAAGAGGTGCAAGCCAAATGAATGATACCGGTATAGAGTATTACCTAAATTCTGGGTTGTTCCGTCCAGCCTCTGGATAGACCTTGCCCGAGATACAGTTTAGATCGTGCTAACACCTACGGAAGAGAGTCCCGAAGCAACACCACATACCAGCTCCTTTCCCCCCAAATGGCTCACGTTTAATGAGCGCAAGAGAGAAAATCCAGCGCCTATAAACACCACGCTTTCCACCTCTCACCGTCCCCTCATCCTTCCTACCATCGCCTTGGAAACTAACACGCCACAGCGAAGCGAGCACAGCTCCATGCCCCCACTCGACCACTTCTACAGCACTACCCTGTAATACTTATGACCGCATCATCTCGCGTTGCGGACAAAATATCAAGCTGCCCGTGAACACTGTGTCGTGGTTATGCTACTCCGATGTGGCCGGCTTGTGGGTCGCCCGTTCCGTGCCAAGCCGGACTCGGGGATCGTGCGTGGGGCCGGGTTTGCCGGTCCTCGTAAATGGGGACGCGAGTGGAATAAAAGTGATCTCATATTTTGGGACAAATTTTGCCCGCCGACTTACGTCTGATGCCTTCCTTGAATATACCATTGAGGAACGGCAGCGTTTGGATGACGGGAGGCTGAGACATAATCAACCCCGCCATGCCGTGGGCTGGAACATGTCAACCTGATGCGTGCAGTCTTGAGGCAGCTTGAGCGATGCGAGAGGGCCAGCTGTAATCTATTGTATTCCTAATTTCAACATCCCAGCAGAGTTTGGCAATCTCTTACTCACCATTGACATAGGAAATGATGATGAGATTTTAGGGTCATCCCGCGCCCCGACATTTATCTACATGATGTAATCACATGTATCAATAACCACATGCAGGCTTCAAGACTGTTCACAACTCATGTTGAGCACTTGTAGTACATAAGTAGCAATCAGACTGAATCTCAAATTTGAAATTAAAAAAATTCTCCTGAGTTATCACATAGAACGATGGATCCACACGGGAACTCGAGAAAGTCCACCCGCATCTTACAGAGTACATCTCAACAACCCCCGGCCTGATTTAACACTCTTACAGTCCCCTAATCCCATTTCCGGAAAACTATCGTTAAGCCCCTATCTACACAACCGTCAGTCCATGTAACCGACGCTGCCGCCATACCATAGCTGAGCCAAACGCAACTGGGAGCAAGAAAACACAGTCTGAACTCACCTGCCAAACGTCCAAGGCAACGCCAGCGTCGTTCGGGCCACCCGTTGCGTAGGCAACCGCGCTGTTCAGCCACGCATATTGGGAACTCGCAGTCTCAAAAAGGATGTGCACGTGGGGCGCGTGGCCTTTCTCAAAGACGAGGACCGTAGCGTTGTCGTCGGTGTGCAGAGTGTAAAGTGCGTCCGGGCTGAAGACGCCCTGCCGGTCTGTGAGTCCCCAATCGAGGCCCGTCAGAACCTTTCCTGCAAGTTCTTACAGTTAGGTCGCTCGAGCTGTCATGATGGGCTGAAACTTGAAGGAGAACTGGATAGAGTTTGTGACAAGCGTGTTAGTACGTACCGCTAAGCTTTGGGCCAGAAAAAGATCCCCCTGAGATCGGCAAGAGATCTCGAGTCCCGTAAGGTACAGCGCCGATGCTGACTGGCGGTGCGAATGTGAGGTTGACGCTGTATAAAAATGTCAATTGGGGCGGTGTCGGGACAGCGGCAACCAAGGTTGCTGTGAGAGGAAAGAGCGAGAAAGGAAGTGCCAGCATGGTGAGGGTCAATATGGTTGAAGACGGAAAAGGGTAGGTGTCGAGAGCTGCCGTGAATCAGCTACTGGATATCTCTTGGACGAGGAGGGTCTGCTTGTTTCTTGGGAAGAGATGAGGTATACAATCTGCTAGAAAAAAAGAAGATGGACCTCAAGTAGAAGCTGGGACGGCTAATGTCAATAGACAATAGGGGCTAAAATGGATCCAGCTGCCGTCAGCTTCTAGGCCATCCCCCTCATTTGTTGGCGAGAAGCCGTCACGGTTCTAGATTGGCCGGTTGAACCTTAGATTCAACGCGGCTCAAGCTTACCACGGTCCGGGAGTGCCGCTAATATACCTTAGCGACCTCCTCCGTCCATATCCCTTGTCATACCTCAACCAGGTCCGAGCCCCTGGTGTGCTGTGAGAGCAACACTGTCGTCCCTCTTGATTTTACCATTCTGTTGATATTCCGACCATGAAGGCAACCCTAGGAACCATCCGTGATTCATTGTGCTCCCTGTCAAATCTACAATTCTGTAAGGGGACGGGATTGAAAGGAACTTGCACAACACGGTTCCTAGAAACCGAACCCGCTCTTATCGCGGTCATTTCAGAGAAGCCTACATGTAGAACAAGTCACAGAAGAATGATGTGGAATGAGAACGCATCGCATTGACGTGACTCCTTAATGCTTAAGCCTTCGCCATCAGGCAGGCAACCCTTTCCCCCTTATCTCTACCCCTCCCCTGAAATCTCCCGAAAGCTTTGCAAGACCAAAAGTGATGAAGACCGATGCTCCCCCGTAAGCGCCTGGCAGCGTTTCCGTAATGTTATCCTCCAGAAAAAAGAAGCTTCCCGCCGGCTGACCAGGCCAGACCGCCGGCCATCATCTAGATCCATTCCCAACTTCCATGCACCACGCCCACCTCCAGGCCAGCAAACACCTGGAAGGCCGAGGGGCTCAGATCATATCATGCTCGCCGCAAGCTTCGCAGCGGTCAACGACGGTGAAGTCGACTTGCTTTCCTCCGTACCAAGCACGCAAGCGGCGACCGCAGAGCGCATTGTTGTTCGGATTGCCGTTGGGGGTATTCGGGTCGAAGATGATGTCTGTATGTAGGAAAAGTTCGATCATGTTAATACTATGTCATGTTCTCGGCACATCAGGTCCATAGGACGGTAATGAGAGGGAGAAACGTACGGCTGAGCGCGACAATCCAGTCAGCGCCCGAGTGATACTGGCCACAGGCACCCAGGCCAGGAGCGTAGTGAGTGAATCTGCCACTGTAGCCGGCGGCGGCTTTGACGTCGGGTGTCTCGAGGGTGGTGGAGTTCACCTCCTTAGTATCCGGCATGGTTCCGATTGGGGAAGCTTTAGCAGTGGCCATGATGGGCAGCGCAACGGAGATGATGTTGGCGAGCATCTTGAGTGAGTGAGTTGTTTTGTTGATGGTATTGGAATCAGGACTTTGAGGTGGTGAATGCTGAGGAGGCACTGTGATACTTTCCAGGGGTGAGCGGTGCAGACTCGGAAACCAGAACGGTGAGGTGGCTGGCGAGCACCTGGAATATATACTCTGGATGTGTGAGGCCGCATCACCATTCAACCCAATCTGCCGCCCTGATAGTTCCTTGAAACTGCGTGATGAGGCCGGGTGACTGAGTAGCGATACCAGCGGGTCACATTGCCCCATGCCAAACAATGATAGCCATAGTAAGCTCCCATATTGAAGCCTCGGATGAAAGACGTAGAGCAGAAGCACACGAAGTTACCTAGGTACCGTAAAGCACCATCGTTTCGTTGACGGCAGCTCAGACGAAACGGAACCTGATAAGATATTTCAACTAGCAGAGATACTCCAACTGCTTGCATTTGAGAAGAGACAAAGAGAAAGATAAAGCTAGGTCACGGTACCTACCTATCCTACTGGAAAGACGAAGTAAGGTATCTTAGATAGGGGCTGACCTGAGCTTCGCTCTGAACTCGAGATTTGTGCCTGACGGCCCCGAGAATAAGGTAGTTGCGATAGTTCGACTTACACACAGTTACTGTCCCAAGCTCTCACAGACTCATGGATATCTCGCTCATCCCTTTTATCCGAGCACAACAAAACCTCAGCTACGTGTGACCTGCAGGCCTTACTTACCTACCTTGGGTATCTTAGCATTACGAGTCATGTGGTCCACTCTAACTGTGCCTGACATCTTCCGTTTGCTCCTGGCAACTTCACGGTTCTGAATTTCCTGAAGACCAAACTGCGCCGGGTTTCTCTTTGTTGTCCTTCTCTACAGCAAGCTGTTTACTTAGTATTAAGTTGTGTGCCTGATTCATGCAATAACTTATCCTGAGCAGGATGGTAATTGGCTCCTCGCACTCGTCCACTTGCTTCTAGCGTCTAGCCGACTCCTTTGACATTATATTGACCTATACTATCTCGCAAGCGAGGAATGACATGGTTCCTACCCTAATTGTGAGGTTCCTATGACATTTCTTGTGATCTCATTCAGGCTAGGAAGCTGTATTCACCGCGTTGGTTCCATGCCCACTTCCTCGGGCTCGGAACCGGGAACTTCAGTAGGATTTTGATGATTCCCAGTTGGCTCAGAACCGGGGACTTCGGGAGGGCTTTGCAGGTTCAACGCTGGCTGACCGTTCTGAGTAACTTGAATTGCCCCTGATTGAAACTGGCCTCCTGTTTCGCTGGGCGTGACCTGCTTACTTGAAAGGATAATTGAAGACTGCCTCCACGGAAAATGCCTCCAACGACGCAACGCAACCATAACTAATACAAGAATCAGGACACCCAAGATTGTGCCAATTGCGATGAAACCCGGGTGGACACTTGGACCGCCTGCCGTACATATGTCGGGAGAAACGGGATTCGGTGTGGTAGCTTCAGGGGCGGAGGGCGCTAAGTAAAACTTCGCTGGCTCTGAGTCGTAATCTACAAAGAGGTAGACCTATGGCACCCATTCAATGTCAGCAAGATAAGGTCACATGTGCACCATTAGCCACTAATAGTACCTGCGAGAGAAAGGCTTTTCCCAAAACGGGAGCATCTCCAGGTGCCTCTTCGCGAAACACTTGAAGTTCGTTATACTCTGGATGGAGTACCAGACTTCCATTCTCGTCGAGACCTCTTAGCGGTCTCAGCAGTTCGTAGAAAGGGATATCCACGGTCAACTTGTCCTCGAGTGTCAGTCGCATCGTTCCTTCAAAGGAGCCCGCACTCGCAGGATAGACCAGTCCCGGCTCAAGATTGAGCAGATTGTCTTTGTAGACGCTAGGATCCACAGCGTCACCGCCATAACCAGTAACTGCTTTGAAGAATTCTTCAACGTCGTTGACCATGTTCTCCGGCATGCGAAACAAGTTATCGTATCTGAGAACCATGCCTGGCGGTAAGCAAGTTTATTATGTCTACTGGGGTGACACCAGGGGTTCCGGGGGGGGAACTTACGGCTCGATACAAAACTTCATACCACCTGCCCTTTCGATAATCGCGCTGCTCATGTATGTTGTCCGGTTACCCCCTTGTCTGTCGGCTGATCTCGCGTTTAGCGACATCTCCGAGACGGTTACCTGAAGCGGGCAATTCCTATCGTTCATGGCGTCGGGATTCGAGACGGTGAACTCCGAGAAGCCACTGCTTGCAACGCTCGCAACGTCATATCCTCCCAAGACCAAGCTGCCGCTTCTGGGGTGAAGAACACTTTGGGATCCGACATTAAGCCCCCAGGACCGCCTGCCGATTAAGCCGAGGCTCTTCAAAGTCTCCAACAGCACAGCGCCAGAAGCAAGGCCCAAGTGTGAAGTCGTAGACTGTTGGCCCCGCGTAATCAGTCCCACGGTCATCGTAACCGACTGACCGAGCCACCTCAGCGTGGCCTGCGCCGCGGACTCGATCGAATTGCCCAGTTTTGTCCACCCCGGATTGTTTGGATCCAGGCCGTCGACTGAGACAACGGACAGCAGATTAGGGGGAACGGACCCTCCCCTTCTGGAACGACATTGCCTGAGCGTCATGGGCACCCCCTGGACGTCAAGCTGGTCGGGACCGCATATGTCATCGGTTGTAAGAAAGGTGTGGTTGACGACTGTCGATGGGCTGAGGCAGAGATCACCGTGATCCTCCACGCCTAGCCGGATACCCCAGGAGTGGATATCATTAACTTCGTCCGCGGCTATAATCGTGCAGTTTCCTAAGGCCCAGACAATGATTGGCGACGGGCATGGTGACTGGGAAGCCCAGGTCAGGGGAAAACAAAAGAGAAGTTGAAGGGATGCTAGATTCATTATTGATCTTGCAAACGTTCTGAATGGAATTAGAGATGTGCCTGGACTGCTCAAACTCTTGTTTGTTAATAGACCCAGGTGAGACGGGCCCTCAGAATTTGATGGAGGAGTCTGTCTGCCGGATGGGATAAGTTGCTGTTGGGCAATGATGAAAATCGGCCGACCCAAAGCAGTTCGAGTTAAATTCCCCAGGTACCTAAGTTACCTATATACATGTCTAATTGTGGCCTCCAAGTCCCGAGTCTACCTAATTATAACAATTTCAAAACCCCAGCAGGTATCCGTCGCCCGTGGCGTAACTGGCGTTTATCCCTCTCCAGCCACGGCCATCACAAGATCCCTTGCCAAGCATATAAGCACGCCCCGGTGGTAACCCCAGCCCTAACGCCTTGCTGCAAACATGCAGTATTCTCGCCTCACTCACCTCCCGATATCGATCATGGCTTAATCAAAGTAAAAACGCCATTGGCTAGATGTTCAGCGCCAACAAATGCGGTTCGAGAGTATCCGCCCGATACTTAAACAAAGACAAGAAACTGTGCCCAAGTACCTAAGCCTCCTAAGGTAGGTAGTAGTCAGGCAGAGTCTTAACACAGTTGTTACAAATCTGTGGCATTCTAAGCAGCGTGTATCTGAAGACTGACTCGTGCACCTATATATCGAGTTTCTTCACACAACCTGTCAGTCTGAGTCAAGGTGAGTCCGTAAGGTAACTTAGGTGTAACGATCCGTATGGAATAATGCTTACCATTTTAGACACCAGCGAGAATTCCAGAATACATGAACAAGTTGGCATACAGCCGCAGAGGGAAGTGGCTGGACCACGCGGCAAGGGAGCACCTTAAGGTTGCCCAGGTCCTAACGCCATGGCTTACAAACAGCTGAACTTGCAAAGTGTGCAACGATGATTGGCCCAAGGTTCAGTTTGACCAGCATAAGGAGGGTAGCCGCAGTTTGTCACACCACGATCAGTGACAATCTGTTACCTAAAGGACACCAACTGGACAAGACTGGCAGCCTCGAAGCTCCCAGCCTGAAGGTGAGTACTTACTTAGGTGTACCAAGACAAGAACTGAGCCGCCCGAGACGACAAAAAAAGAAAATTACAAGGCTGTAAGACTCGGATGACTACCATTTCCTGCTACTATTTAGCTACTACGTACAAACAGATGTGAGGAAGCACACCTTAAGCTCTCAGCCTTCGTTGCCCCCAAAATGGCCCTTCAGAACGTTTAACTGCAGAGTGGCTTGAATAAACACCCGGTTACTGTGATTAGCTCAACACCTGTAAAATGGCTGTAGAACACGGACCACCCTTAACAGCAAATTAGCGAACTGGCGCAAATACC